TCACCAAAGACCACTGGGGTCCGTACAAGGGTATGTTGGAGTATAGGGGCTCAGACAGTCCGCCATGAAAGAAAATCATGAGGCATACCTCACTCAGGGTGGTACGGTGGGCCAGATTAATAAAGTCCTCCACGTACTCCTCTATTGACCGGGCTTCCTGACGGAGACGCATGATTTGAACACCCGCTGGATCCATGTTCTGGCCGAGTCTTCTGTAACCACGACTGGGGTGGAGTGACAGGAGACCACAGGAGGTAAGATCCACTATGCAGTTTATTCAATAGTCAGGCAAGCAATGGTCATCAGGTGCAAACAGGTATATACAGGCAGTCCAGAATCGTAGTCGATATAAACAGGCAGAAGGTCAAAAGGCAGGCGGCTTAACAGGATAACTGGGAAACAAGGCTAAGATCGAAACACGGAGAAACAAGACAGGGAAACGCGTTGTAATGTTACTAGGAAAACAAGACTCGGCCAACTGGTAGCGTGAGAGGGTGGCTTATGAATGGGATGTAATCAGTCTGTGAACAAGGCTCAGCTGGTGCTTGCAATCAGGATACATGAGTGAGCAGGCGTGCGTGTTTGGGAGCAGTGCATGTATGAATGTGTAGTCCTGGGGAATGCGGAAATGAAGTCCTGAGTTCGTGTGAGAACCAGCGATCCTCTGGGGAGCGATCGCTGGTTGTGACATAGCCCCCCCTCTAGGAGTGGATTCCAGACACTCCACTACTGTTCAGGCGGGAGGCGTAGCGGAGGCGGAACAGGGGGAGGGTTGGAGGGCCAGGACCATGCAGCTGGGGCGTACCTGGGGCGTGGAGCTGCGGAGGGCCTGGAGACTGGAGCTGCGGAAGACCCGGAGAGTGGAGCTGCAGTGGTCTTGGATCGTGTGGCAGCGAAGGACTTTGAGTGCTGCGAGGAGCCGGCAGGGCTGGGAGTCTGGATGACGCCGGCTGTGTGAGCTGTCTGGATGGCGCCGACAGGACGAGGAGTCTGGATGGCGCCGACAGGGCGAGGAGCTGTAGGCGTTCGGGAAGCTCAGGCGGCGACCGCGGCCACTCGGGAAGCTCAGGCGGCGGCGGCGACCACTCTGGAAGCTCAGGCGGCGGCGACCACTCGGGAAGCTCAGGTGGCGGCGGCGACCACTCGGGAAGCTCAGGTGGCGGCGGCGACCACTCGGGAAGCTCAGGCGGCGGTGACCACTCGGGAGGCTCAGGCGGCGGCGGCGGCGGCGACCACTCGGGAAACTCAGGCGGCGGCGGCGGCTCTGGCTGAGGCGCTGGCGGCGGCCTCGGCTCTGGCTGAGGCGCTGGCGGCGGCGTCGGCTGGGGCGCTGGCGTCGGCTCTGGCTGAGGCGCTGGCGGCGGCGTCGGCTCTGGCTGAGGCGCTGGCGGTGGCGTCGGCTCTGGCTGAGGCGCTGGCGGCGGCGTCGGCTCTGGCTGAGGCGCTGGCGGCGGCGTCGGCTCTGGCTGAGGCGCTGGCGGCGGCGTCGGCTCTGGCTGAGGCGCTGGCTGCGACGTCGGCTCTGGCTGAGGCGCTGGCTGCGGCGTAGGCTCTGGTTGAGGCGCTGTTTGCGGCGTCGGCTCTGGCTGAGGCGCTGGCTGCGGCGTCGGCTTTGGCTGAGGCGCTGGCTGCGGCGTAGGCTCTGATTGAGGCGCTGTTTGCGGCGTCAGCTCTAGAGGATCTGGCAGCACTGGACGATCTGGCAGCACTGGACGGTCTGGCAGCACTGGAGGGTCTGGCAGCACTGGAGGGTCTGGCAGCACTGGAGGGTCTGGCAGCACTGGAGGGTTTGGCAGCACTGGAGGGTCTGGTAGTACTGGAGGGTCTGGTAGCTCTGGAGGATCTGGCAGCACTGGAGGGAATGGCAGCTCTGGAGATGGCCTTTCAGGAGCAGGAACAGACTTTGAACTGGAAGCCATCTTGTGAGCTGGCTGACTGGGAGCGGCCATCTTGTGAGCTGGCTGTGGACAATGGGTCGCAAGCCCCGTAGCCAGCGGGTCTTGCTCTCTACAGCCCCCCCCCAAAAGATTATTTGGATTTTCGTCCACCTCTCCTATGGTGAAGGAAGATCCACTCATCTGCAGGGCTAGATCAATATAGTTCACCAAAGACCACTGGGGTCCGTACAAGGGTATGTTGGAGTATAGGGGCTCAGACAGTCCGCCATGAAAGAAAATCATGAGGCATACCTCACTCAGGGTGGTACGGTGGGCCAGATTAATAAAGTCCTCCACGTACTCCTCTATTGACCGGGCTTCCTGACGGAGACGCATGATTTGAACACCCGCTGGATCCATGTTCTGGCCGAGTCTTCTGTAACCACGACTGGGGTGGAGTGACAGGAGACCACAGGAGGTAAGATCCACTATGCAGTTTATTCAATAGTCAGGCAAGCAATGGTCATCAGGTGCAAACAGGTATATACAGGCAGTCCAGAATCGTAGTCGATATAAACAGGCAGAAGGTCAAAAGGCAGGCGGCTTAACAGGATAACTGGGAAACAAGGCTAAGATCGAAACACGGAGAAACAAGACAGGGAAACGCGTTGTAATGTTACTAGGAAAACAAGACTCGGCCAACTGGTAGCGTGAGAGGGTGGCTTATGAATGGGATGTAATCAGTCTGTGAACAAGGCTCAGCTGGTGCTTGCAATCAGGATACATGAGTGAGCAGGCGTGCGTGTTTGGGAGCAGTGCATGTATGAATGTGTAGTCCTGGGGAATGCGGAAATGAAGTCCTGAGTTCGTGTGAGAACCAGCGATCCTCTGGGGAGCGATCGCTGGTTGTGACATGTAGACTGCTGTGCGACAAAAAGCAAACGTTACAACACGAAGTTCGCCCAACTTTAAAATGATTTTGAGGTTGGTGGTGGGAAAGGGCCGTCATCGCAGCTTGCGCTTATGGTTTATATGCTTTATGATGTCCTCCACCATTCAGAGGAATTCGTGGGTACGAGAGAGTTCTCAGGACTGTTGGGAGCAAATTGTGGCGACTGACCACTTTCCTCCTCTGTGTTTCCTCTGATGTTGTTTACCGCGTCGGCATCTCCACACACGCTCTTCTTTCTGTCATTAAACCGCGGAGAAGCACCACATTGTCGCAAGTTTAATGATGTACAGAACAGAATGCCTCAATAAATCCGATGTGCCTGTTTACATGACAGTTGCATTGTCACATATCCTATCTATATCTGATTTATTTCCACATATGAAGGAGGCCTGAAACCGATCTCTGAATATCTGAATGCTTGTGTTTTTCGTATTTACACGGTCCTAGAACAGATCCGATTTGTGTCACATATGAGCCAAAAATCGGAATTGGGTCACATTTAACTGGCAGTGTAATCGGGGCCATGCATGTATTTGTGCTTCAACAAATACTGTAGTAGAGCTGTACGATCAATTGAAATTGCAATTGAAATGTAGTCCCAATTCTACCCCTCAGTTCTTCCCCTTAGTTCACCCTTAGGGGTGTCCCAATTCTCTTTAGCTTGAAGTCTAAGGGAAAGGGGTAGATAGCCCTTTGAGTGAAGGTTTTTCAGGAACACATTCAACAGAATCCCAAAATAGACCAGCCACAACTTCAGGATAGTTGTACCTGGAAGTAAGCAGATCTACAAATAAGTATTTTTTGTCATTATTATGAATTTTTTACAACAATCAAACATGTTTTAATATATTCATAACCGCGTTCATGTTTTACTGCCATGCTTTAAAAAAAAAAAAAAAAAAAAACGCTAAAATAAAAAACGCTAAAGTTTGTGTTGTTGTTTGTAATTTCCGAATTGGTTTCTGACTGTTTGATTGTACTTTCAATGACAACTTTATATATACTGTAGTTTCTTTTCTAGTACTGAAATTGGAATTAAAGATTGAAAAATTAATTTAGCATTATTAATTAATGTTAGATACAATTCAACAACAATATATTTTTTTTATTTCACTCTTTTATTCTTTGTTTTTGTTTTGTTTTGTCCAGTAAAATGTTTGGCAGGGAAAGTAAAAATCAGAACAACTGCATAGTTTTAATCAAGGCATCCATAAATGTTGTCATTTGAATGAATGTGTAATACTTTCTCATACGCACTTGTACACAGCACCTAATAACAATTTACAATGCAATACTTTCTCCAAACGCAATTGTACACAGTACCTTGTAACCTTTATATTTATAACAAATCCGTACAATTAAACATTCAGATCTTTTTGATCAACTGCATCTCTGTTTCTTGTTTATCGTGTTTTTTCATATTTATTTTGTGTTGTCACTTGTCACTTATGTACACTGGAAGCTTCTGTAGCCAAAACAATTTTCTTGTGTGTGTGAAGCACATTTGGCAATAAAACTGATTCTGCTTCTGATTAATGCTGTGGGAATATTTCTCGATGGTATCTTATTGATATTTTTTTCTATGGTATTAAAGTAAAAAAAAAAAGAAAAAAAGAATTGCATTTATGAGAGGGCTCTTCTTTCTCTATAAAAAATAACACTCCCCCTTCCTTAAACTGTGGTAACACTACAGTTTGAGCATGTGAAATTTTGCCACACAGCACTGCAAAAGGGGTGGGATTAAACAAGATGATTAGACGTTAAAAAGTGATCAATTGCTCTATATTTCAAATTTCTGTACAGAGAGGTCATGTTTTGATCTTCGATTGGTTTCACGCAATCACGTGATGTGATTACGCAGGTCAGAGTTCAGGTCAGTCAAGCTTGGACTTGTGTTTAACATGCTTGCATTTCCGGTCTGTCGCATTCACATGCATGTGAATGGAAGTCTATGTGGCGAAAAGTGCAGTGTGACAGTGACTTTACTCTAGCACATATTCTCTGAGCACTAACAGTATGCATTGCCTCTTCTTGTTGAATCTTTTAAGTGCCTCCTCAGTTTTAAGACACATTGAACAAAAGCATCTGTCAAATGACTAATAGTAAAGTTAGAAATGCCATTATTGTGACAGAACCATTGTAAATGTTAAATGTGTGTGTTTCTGTTGCAGATCATCGAGTCTCTGGGCATCATGATCTATAAGGCTCTGGATTATGGCCTGAAGGAGCATGAGGAGAGAGAACTGAGTCCTCCTCTGGAGCAACTTATCGACCTCATGACCAACATGGCGGACACAGAAACAGACTGTCCTGATGAGGGATACGAGGCCACGGAGGAGGAGGATGAGGGAGAAGAAGAGAACGCTGAAGTCTCCAATGTTCGAGGATACCGGGACATAATTTCTGTAAGCATTGACCGATTGTAAAACAAACTGTGATTTAACAAAAGGTGTTAACCCAGTACAGCTTAATTCTTGTTTTTATGTAGTTAAATTGGATTTCTGTCCTTAAAATAAAATAAAATTAATCAAAAACATAATAAATAAATAAAAACATAAATAAAATAAAAATATAAAATAAAATGAAATATAATTTTAAAAATAAAATACAACAAATTAAAATAAATATGAAATCAAATAAAATAAAAACAAAAAATAAATTAAAACTAAATAAAATAAAACGAAAATAAATACAATTAAATGAATAAAAAAATAAACAAAATTGTAAAAATAAATAAAAACAAAAATAAAATTAAATAAAATGAAAATAAATTTAAATAAAATGAATGAATAAATAAAAAAATAATAAATAAAAACGTAAAAATAAATAAAAAACATAATCCCATTTCTGTCCTTAAAATAAAATAAAATAGAAACATAAAAAATATATAAAAACATAAAAAATAAAGTAAAAACTAAATAAATAAATAAAAACATAAAAAGTAAAAAAAAGTAAAAAGTAAAATAAGATAAAATTAAAAAATGAAAATAAACAGTAAAATAAAATAAAATTAAAATAAAAACATTAAAATTTAATAAAAATATGAAAAAAAAATAAAAAATAAATAAATAAATAAAAGTAAACATTAAAATAAATAAAAATAAAATGAAATATAATTTTTTAAAATAAAATAAAATGACCTAAAACAAAATATGAAATGAAACAAAGTAAAAACATAAAAGTTAAATAAAAAATAAAATAGCAATGTGTAATGAATGCACAATTAATTTGCATAAATAGTGTGTCTGTATGTCTCTTGGGATGACTGTAATTGTTATTCTCTCTACTGGTATTATTTTAACTTCTCCCTCAGGCCCACTTTAGTAATGCATTACTCTCAAGCTCCATAAAGACCTCCAGACAGTAGCAGCACTTTTAATTACTGTCATAGTCATCAATAAATAAAAGGAGAAGCTTTTAGCAATGGTAGCAGTCGAAAGAAGGAATATGACCACACTGTGAGTGCTACAGGTACTAGCATTAGCATAAATAAGCATTATAATCATGTGCCACTACATAACCCAAGGAATCTGTTAAAAAAGGCAAACAAACAGACCACATGCATCAAGTAGTGGTCAGTTTGGGTAATAGAACATTCTAGATTATTCTAAAGGGTCTTTCAGGACAGGTTGGATAATACAGAACCATGACTGGATAAAACGAAGTTGGATAAAATGAACCATGACATTTAGTTTCTTCAATCTGGCTGGCTAAATTTATACTCCACCCGCCAACAAACCTTTTAGATTCTCCATTTAGAAAGAAATTGATTTGAGGATAAAGTAAATGAGAATGGAAGATAATGTGCCACCTCTTTCATCACCTTCGTCTATTTGTTTAGAATGGGGAAAGTAAAAAAACAACTATTTCCTTGAGTAATTTCCTCTAAAATATTTTCATTTCATAAAATTCTTATTCTCAATCTATTTAGACTTTTCCCCCCTTATTTTAGTGTTCCTCTATTTATCTAAAATTAAATAATAATTTGTATTATTCTGCAATTTGCTTGTTTGTTTATTACTGACTGTTCACTTGTCATCTGTAATGTTTTCATTTATATACGTTAGGCTAATAGTCTCATAATGTTAGGTAATGTATTTACCAACATAAATGAAGAATAAACAATACTTGTTCAGCCTTTATGAATCATAGTTCAACATTTACTAATGCATTATAAAAATCAAACGCTGTGCTTGTTAGCAGTCAATGCACCATGAGTTAGCATGAATAACAATGAACAACTGTATTTTTTATTAACTTACATGGTCACTATTTATTTTGATGTACAATTCACACTATTAACTAAGACTTTTAGCTCAATAAATCACTTATTAGCTGCTCATTAATAGTCAGTAGTTGGGTTTAGACATTGGATTATGGTGGTAAAATAAGATCATACTTTATAAGTGGTAATAAACAATTAATGGGCAGGTAATAAGCCAGTAATAAATGGTGTGGATTGTTACTTAACCTGACATCATTTACTTCCACGTTCTTTAAATATTAATGGTCCGTACTGGCCCAATACCCCTATAAGTGGTTCTGTTTTCTCATCATTTGGAATAGAATAACTTTTGCATAGATTATGATAGACATTTTTCTTTTTTCCTATGATTACTGACATATGCAGGAACCAACAAATTTAATTACAGCAACCTAGACCACACTGAACCTAAAAGGTACACTTTCAAGTTTGAGTTTACAAAAAAAAAAAACTTTTTTGAAGGGTTTATTATAACACAGACAACATATGCAATTATTTTAATCAACAGTGTTTTCTAAAAAAAAATTTTTAGAAAGGGTTTTCTTTAAAATTATACCAAACATTTGGATTTACATCTCTGCATGTGGATTTGGGAAGCTTTTGAATTTGGGTTGGTAAAATCCAGGTGAAAAGCCCAAAATAGCACTCGACTTTCAGAGGTTAAACTAAATTGTTACCAAGAACAGAAACAAAAATGTATCATAAATGTATTGTTCATTGTTTGTTCATACTAAGTACATTAACAATAACTGTGGTAAAAAGAGTGACCTTTTCTTCTCTTAATACTAAAATTGAAATTAAGAGTATTTAAATCTATTAGAATTCAAAATTTATTAGTTTTACATGGATCAAAACAATAAAAACCTTTTTTTGTTACTCCTGTACTTATAGTTTTTTATTGCTAAGTGAACATTAGTCTAAAAAATAAAATTAGAAAAACAGTAGTAAAAATCTCTAAAATCAAGCCATTCTTAAGGTTCTAAAATGACTAATTAAGAAATTTAGAGATACAATTCAAATTCGGCCCAAAACACGCAGCAAAAGTGGTGAAGAAATGGTTAGCAGACAAAAACATTTACACTTTGCTGTGGCCCAGCCAGAGTCCTGACTTGAATCCAAATGAGAATCTGTGGAGGGAGCTAAAGTTCAGAGTGATGCCAAGGAGACCCTCCAACTTGAAAAAGTTGGAGCTCATCGCTAAAAATATCGCTAGAGACATGCAATTTACTGGTCAGCAATTATAGCAAGCATTTGATTGCTGTAATAGCCAATAAAGGCTTTTTTCTATTGATTATAAGAAAGGGTATGAACAATTTTAGACACTTTCTGTTCAAATGTAAAGAAGAAAAAAGCTAAGAAATGCTTTTTTTTTTCAACAATGATGCCTCTTGAACATCGTCTTATAATTTTGTGGATGATGACTGTGTCATTTGCAGTTTAAAACAAACTTGATGGTTGAATAAAAGTTTAACTTTAAGTCTGAATTTACCATGCAGGAGTACACCGTAAAAAATGCTGGGTTCCATACAACTCTTTTATGTTGTCACAACACAAATCCATTAAGTTACCCTCATTGTTTTTCAAAAGTAAGTGAATTGAACATAAAACAATTAAGTTGTTGCAAACAAAGTAAAAATTTGTTTTAACTCATTTTAAATAAATAGTTTAAACAAGTAGCAAGCAGCAAAAGTCATGTTTTAAGTGTATGAATAATTTCCGGCTTGACCGTATTTTTTTTTTATTTGTATTAATGCTTTATTTATTTATTTATTTATTTACATATTTATTTTTACTTTTTATGGAATCTTATATGGCAATAACATTCCCAGTGTATAGCCGTATATTCCCTCTTTATCTCCCTCCTATCAGGTCTTGCAAGTTGCATTCACTTTCACCAGTCTGTAATCTCGTCTAGCATGATTTCTCAGCAAAACACGTCACAGGGACTGAATCTGCCGTCAAACATTCCTAAAGAGGGCAGAGCTCAGGGAAGGTGTGGAGAAAAATGTCATTAAGCTGGTTGCTCAGCGTAATTGTGTGTTTAAAATGCATGTCATGCTCAAACAATTATACCTGGGACTGAGTTTTGAACGGGCTCGTGTTATTGACCCGCCAGGCATGCAAACTTTGGGTTTGGCTCTTAGCTATGTACCAAAATATAATGTGTATAAAACGGCAGGATTAACTGATCAGACAGATTTGGTCAATGATTTTCTTAGAAATGCAACGATTACCTTATCAGACTGAGGTTGAAGGAATCTACATTGACCTTAAAATACACTCCTGTCCTCTGGAACGCAATTGACTATTTTAGGAAAGAGACATCTTGACAAACACAGCAATTACAAAAGATTTAAAGCCGTACTGTAACAATTTGCTTGTAAATGAGGCAGTGCAGTGGAATGTTCAGGGGCTGTTATGTGTGAATTGTATTTATGGTAAGATTTAAGTGAAGAATTGTTTAAATTGGAAATTAAATTTTCTCTGTGATTTGTTTGTTTGGTCTTAAATCAGATGGACAATCTTTAATATCCTATAAGCTGTAAGTTTATTAATGTATAATAAACTATAAGACAGTGTAGTACAACATTTTAAACGTTAAATAATGTAAAATAAGTAATCAATAATTCACAGCTAATAAAGTTTGATTAAGTAAAGTTAATAAAGTTATATTATGTAATCCAATATTTTTGATAATAAACAATAAAATAATATATAGATCTAAATTATAAATCGAAATAAATACATGAGATTCATGTCAATAATCCAAAATGTCCTTAAAATAAAACAATTGGATAGAATAAATACAAATTATATTAAAATAAATCATAAAAACAACCATTCAGATGGCTTTTAGATTTTAGGATGGCGGTCATCGGAATCTGAATGATAGAAAAGTGTTTCTAACTAGTTAAAAAACAAACAAACAAGCAAGCAAACAAACAAACAAACAAACAACAGCATAAAAATTGCAAAACCATCTAATAAAAAAAAAAGTTTTATTAGAAGAGTAGCAGACATGAAGTGGTCCAAAGGTGTTTAATTAATCCAAGTGTCGTATGTCTATTTATCCTTAATTAATAGCCTGAAAATTAAAAAATGATGTAAAATTTGAAAAAAGTTAAATATTTATCAGCCGTAATATAGACATTTTCTGCATTTGTAATGTGTGTCTTTTTGTATGAACAACATTCTTAAAATGCATTGCTCAATTTCAGAGTGTCACTCAAATTCAGCTTAGGACTATACACTATACACTTTCCCTACATTTTAATGTCTCTGTAATTTAATAGTCTCATTCTCTGTTCTTCTTCTTCTTCTTCCTCTTCTTCTTCTTCTTCTTCTTTTATTGCTTTATTAGGTACATCTTAGGTCAGACTGAAAATAACACTTTAATTACAATATATATAGTATCAATACATATTGATGTTCATAACATGTCATAAAAATCATGCACTGATACAATTTACCAAACAAGAAATTATCAGGAACACATAATTATAGCCTTATTCTCCCAAAACTGGGATTTACAAACTTTTGGGGTTTGTGAGTTGATGAAAAGCCAATAATTAACTAAAGGGTTCATAATAAGCCCTATTGTGATGTAAAATAAGTATCAGGAGTCTCCTAGATGTGTCTGTAAAGTTTCCCACAGATCATTTATTTATTATACCAGGCTGTAATTGCTCATTTTTGTGGGTCTCTTTTAATGAAAATAAGCTGCTGCTCTCGCCCACCATCCAGAAGAAGGTGGAGTCATAACAGCTTGTTTCTTGACTAGTACTCCAATAACACTAAGTCCAACATTTTCATGTCTTTTCAAGCCTTGTCAGTTTAGACATTTTTTTGGAGTACAGAGACATAAATGCTCACAAAATAATATGCTTGAAATACTTATTTTTAAATAAATATATATTTAAATAATAACAAAAACTTGATAGCACTTTAGTTTAGGACACTTGACTGGCCTGCCTGCAGTCCCGACCTATCTCCAATAGAGAATAGAGAACATCTTTTAAATGTTGCAAGAACCAAAATTGGCATACATATTTACTTTGGAAAAAAACAATAAAATTCATGAGGAACACATTAAATAATATTTGTTGTATTGTCTGCAATGAAGTACAATGTTTCTATACTGTCACAACTTTTTCTGATTTTTTTGTGTGTGTGTACTTTATGACTACTAACAAACAGTTAATAATAATAATCTTAATAATAGGCATGTAATAAGCCAGTAGTTAATAGCATGAATTGTGACCTAAACTAGTTTTACCAAAACTTCTACAAGTACAATTTTTAGATCAAAAAAAGCTTTGTCTGACTAAAATATTTTGAGGATTTCTACTCTAGTGGTGTAACATCATACGTCTCATGGTTTTCTCTTTTCCAGCTCTGTTTGTCTCACCTTCCCAGTCCATCTGATGCTCCAAACCACTACCAGGCCGTGTGTCGAGCCCTGTACGCTGAGACCAAGGAGCTCCGCACTTTCCTGGAGAAGATCAAGAGTGCCAAAGAGGTAATGACGCTTACAAAAAACTGCCATGCTTACATGGCTGTTCATGTGTGGCTGCAAAAGTGCTTTGGCTGGCCAAAAAAACAGTCACTGTATGGATTTAGAGTAGCAGATTATTATCATTGTGTGATTAGATCTTAGTTGCAGTGATTGATATGTTTCTGGCTTGTTAAATGTTTGGCAGCACCTCAAAGGAATAGTTTACCCAAATTCTGTTCCAGATCCAATTGTTTCAAACCTATTTGACTTTCTTCTGTTGAACACAAAGGAAGATATACTGAAGATTGTAAGAAAGCAGCTGCTATTGCCATCCACAGTAAAAACAAAATATACTATGGTAATCAATAGCTGCTTTCTTCCAAGATTCTTCATAATATCTTGTTTTGTGATCAGCAGAAAAAAGAAAGTGATACACGTTTAGAACCACTTGAGTGTGAGTAAATGGTGAGAATTTTTTTGGATGAACTAACACTTTAGCTAATGCAGTGTGCAGCTTTTTTTATTTCTTCTCCATGTCAGAAGACGTATCCCATGACCATATTGCATAATGGCCATGCCATGAATCAACAGGCTCAAAGAAGGCTTCGTTTTCACACGTTGAGCTGACCGTCAGTTGACCTGAAACTTGCTAAAAGTCTTAAGACGTGCAGATGAGTAGACCGTGAACATCTCATCATCAGATAATGGAGGAGGTGGAAGATCTGGTCTAAAAATGAACGCAGCCCTTGATGGAAATAAGCTTTGTGACTTTGCAGAAGGTTTTATTGAAGATAAAAATAATCCTAAAGATGGCCACTATCTGACCATCAGGTTTACTATGTAAAATCTACTCAATACTGTCAGTCTATGGATTCATACAGTCATGGAAAACCTGGAAAAGTCATGGAATTTTAACATGGCATTTTTTACAGCAGCAGAAGACCCCACCGGGTGCCTCTCACTGTCTCACCAAATATAGACAATAGAAGATTGTAAAAATGTTGCATGGTCTGATGAGTCTTGGTTTCTGCTGCGACATTCGGATGGTAGGGTCAGAATTTGTCATAAAGCGTGAATCATCTCAGACGGGTTTCTTAAACATGACAATGAGTTCACTGTACTCAAATGGCCTCCACTGTCAGATCTCAATCCAATAGAGCACCTTCGGGATGTGGTGAAACGTGGATGCGCAGCTGACAAATCTGCAGCAACTGCGTGATGCTATCGTGTCAGTATGGAACAAAATCTCTCAGGAATATTTCCATTGCTTGTTGAATCTATGCCACGAAGGATTAAGGCAGTTCTGAAGACAAAAGGTAGTCCAACCCAGTACTAATAAGGTGTACCTAATAAAGTGGCCGAGTGTAGGTTATTTGTCTTAAACGTGCTCATGCTGTGTAAACATTATCTAAATAAATTTTACAGGGATATAAAAATGAATTGAAACTAAATAGATTGTTGCATGCTTATTGATGTGCTGTAAGAAACTTGAACGTGCATTGTTTTTCTTATTAGTTACCACGTTTTGGTAGACATTACATGAAATATTAGGTCATGAAAATTAACTTGAAAGTCCTGCAAAAGTCTTGGATTTTTAGTAGTAAAAATGTATATGAATCCCAACTTCATATAATAATAAAAATGAGTTAAATGGAGCACAGATCAACTGGTGGTCAATTTATATGTGAAAATGAAGCTTGCTTTCACAATTTCAGATGAATCTTGGCATTGTCATCCTAGAATTGGACTGCTGGATACATCTTTTGAGATTGTTCTTTAGGAAATAAAAAGCAACACAATGCAGTAGTTACACCTAATGTTATGAATTGTCAGCAAAACCCAAATTATATTACTACAATAACAATGTCATCCACAAACTCATTATTGTTTGCTTACTTAAAGGGATAGTTCTCCTAAAAATAAAAATTGGCTCCCTATTTACTCTCCCTCAAGTTATTCCAAACGTTTATGAGGTTTTATGAGATAATTTGAATAAAGCTAAAATTTTATATTGACATCGGTTGTAGGAAAAACAATGGGTGTCATTGGAAATCAGCTTTCTTCAAAGTATCATCTTTTGTGTTCAACAGAATAAAATAACTCCTAAAGGTTTGGAATCACTTGAGGCTGAGTAAAATGATGGCCAATATGTTTAGCTTTGAGTGAACCATCCCTTTAAATCCAAACCATGTGCTTTTTTTTTTGCTATTACAGTGCATTGTTTTGCCACAACTGTCATTTACTAGTCATATATTTTTTCTTTTAGAGCTGTGTTTCTCAACCACGTTCGTGGAGCCCCACCAACACTACATGTTTTAGATGTCTGCTTTGTCTGTTACACCTATTACGAGTCTTTCAGTCTCTAATCAGCTAATAAGCTGATTATCTGAATCAGGTGTGTTTGGTTTAGGAGACATGGAAAATATGCAGAGCTGGTGGTTCTCCTGGAATGTGGTTGAGAAACACTGTTTTAAAGCCATGAAATTGCATTTTGTTTTGTTTATTTTTTTACTCTGAAGAAGTATTTTATTTTTATTATGTAAAATGTATTATTTTTGTCAGCCAAAACCGTATAATCATTTTTACATTAGGCGTTAAAACAAAGATGCTCTTCTGACAGGGTGTAAATCAAACACAGCCATTTAAACTTGAATCCTCATGAGGCTGTTTGTGTTTATGGGCTTGAATAGAGCGAGTGGGTTGACAGCTAATGTGACTCATAAACAGGCCGTGGACTGTGGAGGTGGATTGAAACCAACAGTATTACCCAACACTTTGCCAATATGCTTGTTTCATGAGGCTTTAATACTGTAAGTCCTGTGCGAATATGTTTTCCTAGAGGACTACGCTCTGCAACATTTAAGATTTGCATTATCCACACTAAATCTGTTGTTTGTGTTCAGTATATTGTAAAATATTCTGGGTTCCACACAATTACTTCATGTCGTCCTAACACAAATCAATTGAGTTAACTTAATTGTTTTATGTTCAATTCACTTAAATTTATAAAAACAATTATGTTGCCCCCCCAAAAAACTAATGAATTCATTTTAAATAAGTAGCTTGAACAAGTAGCAAAAGTCATCATAACTGATTTCACTTGCCACATTTATATTATTATCAGAATTATTTTCAGAGCCATTTGTGAAAATACCGCGAGATTTATTAACAAACGTTATGACGTTTTATCATCATTGCTAAGTTTATAATGAGCATTTGTTCTTGTCTGCAGGAGTGAGATGCTAAAGCTTTTTAATCAACCACCATATTTCCATATAGCACAGCTTTCATACATGCTGTTAGCTGCACAGAGACTGAATGTTCTCATCAAGTCATGCAGAAATGTTTCTGAACAGATTTGCTCTGACATCTTCATAGTTATCAATTATGAACATCTTTACCTGCCTATACTTGATGGCATTTCATTATAAACCTGCACTTGCTACATAATGCACCAGAGACATACTCAACTCAACTCAACTCACTTTATTTCCATAGCACTTTCACAAATCACAATGATTACCAAAGTGCTGTACATAAAACACATAAAACGCATGTAAAATATACATAAAATAAAACACATAAACTCACATCACATGATTAAAAGCTAAAGAAAATAAGTGTGTTTTCAGCGACCCCTGAAAAGACTCAAAAGATTGAGCTGTTCTTAAAGAGAGTGAAAGATCGTTCCAGAGTCTTGGAGCTGCTACAGAGAAAGCTCTATCACCTCGACATTTTAAGCGTTATCTAGGAACTTGCAAATAGAGACGATCCATAGAGCGAAGAGATCTCACACGGTTATGCGTAAGAAATTCACAGTTTATAGATGTACAAAATTAGAAGTCAAAATTATTAGAAATTGTGATTATTTTACAAATATTTTCCCAAGTGCTGTTTAACAGAGAGAAATATTTTTTCAACAGGTTTAAACTGAATGGTTTTAATTTCTTATAATTAAATCCTTTTGTCTTTGCCATGATGACAGTACATAATATTTGTTCCAGTTATTTTGCAAGGTTCTATTATTCAGCTTAAAGTGCAATAAAAGACTTAACTAGTTTAATTCATTAATTAATTTAGCTTAATTTGACAAGTCACTGGATAACAGTGGTTTGTTCTGTAGACATTTGGAAAAATACATTTCTTAAGGGGGCTAATAATATAGAACTTAAAATTGTATTTAAAAATGTAAAAACTACTTTTATTCCAGCCAAACTAAATGAAATAAGACTTTCTCCTGAAGGAAAAAAACATCATGTGAAATACTGTGAAAATGTCCTTGCTCTGACAAACATAGTTTGGGAAATATTTGAAAAAGAATCAAAATTTCACTGGAGAGCTAATTAGTTTGACCTCACTGTGTGTATATTGTTGTATATGCGCTCTTGACAACTGACTACGGTCTTATGTTTGCTGTGTAATCCCTTGAAAAAATTGCTAAAGCTCCTAAGAAGCCGTTTCTTAGCGGATTGATTGCTGAATAACTGGCGTAGTCAGACAGGCATGTTTAGCCCTCTTTAGTACTGAATGTGGCTATTTAAACTGTAACATGTAATCAAATGGCATGTGAACAGCATGTCATATAAGCCTTATCCCAATGAATGTGTTCTTTCTCCTTAGGCATTAGTGTGCATGAACCTGCCTGCTATAGTTTCTCACTGAACAGAGGATATGGCATATGTTCTGCTGTAAATACTGTGCAAAGTTCAAATGAGTTGATTATTGAATGTTTAATTTAGTATGCTAAAAGTTCTGGGATGATGTATAAATTTTAGGTTACTTTAAAAGTGTTGATTTAAAAAAATTGAGTTTTAAGACTGATGTTTCCCATCTATGGAAAGGGTTTACTGTTTTCTGTTTTTTATTTAAGAGAATCTACTCCAAAGCTTTTGTAGACCAATTTCTTTTTACATTTACTGTATATACCTGAAGGTGAATAATAAGATGAGTTTTGCTCAATATGTAGGTTTGTAAGTATACAGAAAACACTGCACTACAACACTAATCAAACAAGCTTCATTTTATTTTGCATTATTCAAAGAACAACAAAACAACATAAGTTTTGCTTATTTTGTCAATTAAAGCAAATCAAATTTTTTTAAAAATTGGAAGAAATGTTATTAGAGCCTTGGAATAAAAACACAAACCTGAGCATTTTGTTCAAACACTACTAATCAGGGCTGCACGATTAATCCAAAAAAGGTTGCAATCTCGAATTGACCCTACAAAAATGGTGACAAGCACATGTTTCAAACACAATAATTCAACTTCAGAATTATGAGTAGTTGTATTCTAATTTCACCTTATTAAAAAAATCACTTTACTGTAAATTAACAACCAGGACATATTTAAAGTCTGTTCAAGTCCACCATTCCAAGTGTATGCAAAATACTGAATTTTAAGCAACAGTAGAACTACACATAGACCTAATATTATTATTATTATTATTATTATTATTATTATTATTAATTATTATTATTGTTGTTTTACCATATGTTTGAGAATAGCAATAACAATAGCCTTCTTGATGATCCTTTATTTTATCTACAGAATCATGGGAAAATCATGATCTTGATTATAAGCAAAAAATAAATAAATAAATAAATAAAAAGAAAAACTTGACTTTTTTTAGCCTGAATCATGCAGCATTACTATTAATACTAGTAAATGTTATGAAATATACATTTAGATTTTTGTTTTTGCTTTATATATATATATATATATATATATATATATATATATATATATATATATATATATATATATATATATATATATATATATATATATGTGTGTGTGTGTGTGTGTGTGTGTGTGTGTGTGTGTGTGTGTGTGTGTGTGTGTGTGTGTGTATATATATATATATATATATATATATATATATATTTTTTTTTTTTTTTTTATTGGCATGATCATTTTTACTTCATCAAAGAATTAGCTTAAAATATATAGATTTAAATAGTGCCTAAAGCGGCAGACATGGCAATAGCTGGAAATTATTCTTGTACTACTCACACCAATGGTTTTCTGCAAATAAATGGTTTAAATGGCAATTTTTGCTTGTAAAATTTGGAAGAAATTTTAATAGTAATTTAAAAAAATTAAACAAAAAAGCAGCATTTTATTCAAACACATACATAAAAGGTAAGTTGAAGAAAAACTGATTGCAAGGACCTTATCTAGATTGTAATGTAATATTTTTTTCTTTATTTGTTGCAATTTAAGGCATTTTAGTGAAAAGGCTCACACATGGTTTAGTGGTCAGTGCGTATGTAAATGCACTTCTACAGTACATATACAGCTTTTAATTATACATTAGTAATCCATTATGTTTTTTGAATGCATGAACTCTCTTTGTGCACAAAAACTGCCTGCAGAGGCATTGCCTGATCGGGCAGCAAGTTGCAGACCAGCTGCCAAAAGCTTTTGGAATAAGTGAGTGAATGTTTTAGAGGAAAGGAGGAGTGAAGGACAAGTGGAAAAAAGGAAGAATCAGCTGCTCGGCTCTTTTAATATGAGCAACATTGATACACATAGTCTTGCTCCAGTGATTCAGAAAGTCTCTGAATGTTTGATGCATAAAGGAAATGTTTTCGGATTGTGGTTTGTGATGCAGCACAGTTTAACTTTGATTTAGGAGATCAGACTCTATCTGTTCAGATCTTATTAGCCCAGTGAGTGTGTTTCTGTTCATTCCTGCTAAATCAACATCAGGGGTAATGAGGGCAGCACAAAAGTCTTGATACCTCAGGCTGTTGATGTTGCCATCCACTCTGCAGATCTCTCGCACGCCCCCATACTGAATTTAACCCCAAACCATAATTTTTCCTTCACCAAACTTAACTGATTTCTATGAGAATCTTGGGTCCATGCGGGTTCCAATAGGTCTTCTGCAGTATTTGTGATGATTGGGATGCAGTTCAACAGATGATTCATCAGAAAAATCTACCGTTTGCCACTTTTCCAAATGATCAATTAAAAGTCCAGTTATTATTATTTGTTGCTTTTACAACTGGGATCATCGACAAGATTTTTGTCAGGCAGTCCATGTGCTATATTACATACATGTCGTAAATATCGAACAATAAACAGGTTCAAAATTGTTGAATTTTTTAATTTTTAATTAATTTTTAATTAATTTAAAACTATTTTTTAGTCATGTTTTGCAAAGGGGATTGTGGTAACCCCTTTTATTATTACACAATTCATAAAATGCTTTAAACAGCCTGTGAGAAAAAAAACTAATTTCACAACTTTTGTAGAATAGGAAAGAAATGAATTCGAAAAGGTCAACATATTGATGTCATTATATCTGGTTTAACGTTAAGTTATGATTAAATTTCCTCTTATTACAGTTATGAAATAGTTTACCAACAGGCAGGAGATGTTCACGGGCCAATGTCATCACCACATTGAAATGGTCCATAAAATAAATATAATGCGGCAAAATATGTTCAGACTTATCCCTCTGTTAAAACCTTCAGAATATAGATTTTTAGATAATACATGTCTTTAAGGGGGAAACATCATTTTTGAAAAAACTGATTTAAAATACATTGTCTAATTTAAATTCCACAGGCACAATTTAATCAAATGCAGCAAAAGAAACACTTAAATGGGGAGTTTTGTACCTGTATAGACTAAAAAAAAATCAACAGTTGTTTTTGCTTGCAGTATTTAACTTTAATAAGCAATCTAATAACCAATAGCTAAGAATAGTTCATTGTTCTGCATTCTGACCAAAAGTCTGGCTTACGTCATTTGAGAGTTATAACAAAAAAACTAAACAAATCCTAATTAAACATACAAACAAATAAATCTTTGTATTAATTTAAAGATATACACTTTCATTTGTCCAATGATAGTAACTCTCATTTATTTTGCCATGAATGTCAAAATCACTAAAGCTCAACGAGATGAGAGAATATTCTGGGCTGAGTGTGTTGTGTAATTGTTGCTGACCACTAACTTTAAAAAACAGTGTCTGTCATTGTTGCTGTTGTCCCAGCTTCACCCGGTTTGGAAATGGCCTTTTGGCAGTCGATTAGTGGGTGTGGCTGTATTGCAGACTAGTTAAATTAGTTAAAGACAGCATTAGCTGCGTATCAATTGTGCTTTAATATTGGCATGCTTACTGGTAATGTCTGTCACATGAGAATGAATCGATTTACAAATCAGACTCATCATGGCGACATTGAATGTTCCTCGTTTGACCCCAAACTGAGGACAAGCCAGGGCATTATACTGTATATTTATAATCACTCAGAAATGCTGAAAACATTGTATGGTATGTAGATATTTGGGTGTTTTTTTTATCATCATGATGTATGTATTATAATTTAATGTATTTTATGTTTAAAATATTTTTGGGATAAAAAAATTATGTCCTAATAAAAAGTTTTTAAAAATGTAGTTCTTAGCATATATTTGTATACTATATTATATATTATTATTGTATAATATATTTATGTATTTGGGATTTGAATGACTATATATATATATATATATATATATATATATATATATATATATATATATAATATATAATTTATTTATTTATTTTATTTATTAATTTATTTATTTGAAAATTTAAGATTTTTTTAAATTTTAAAATTAATAAATAAAATTTATTTATTTGTTTCCTGTGAGATAATAATCTCAATAAATCTATTTAATTCAATCAATTATTTATCTTTTGGAAATAATATGTATAAATGAAAAAAACAATAGACAAACTATGTACAAAAGTAAAAAATAACTGTGTTTGTATACATATATGGGTATGGGTATATGTGTGTGTATATGTTCATGTATATATGTGTATATGGAACTTTTAAAATATATTCAACTACATATGTTTGCATTTTTATTCTCAGAATTTGCGGAAGATGGAAGGAGAAACAGAGGAGCCCGTCAGAGACCTGAATGAGCTGCAGAATGCTGACTGGGTAAGAGCAATCCTATAATCCCATTCCCCATGGGCACAATGCATTCAGAGTATGTGCTGTTAAGATCCTGTTTGATCATTTACTTAGACTAAGTACATATTTTGCATATTCTCCACAGGCTCGGTTTTGGGTGCAGGTGATGAGGGACCTGAGGCACGGCGTGAAGCTGAAGAAGGTGCAGGAGCGTCAGTATAACCCTCTAGCCATCGAGTACCAGCTCACGCCTTACGAGATGCTCATGGATGACATTCGATCCAAACGCTACAAACTCCGCAAGGTCATGGTAAGGATAAAAATGCATCAATCAATACTGGACACTCGGGGAAAACATTTCTGTGCATATGATCTCTAAATCTCACGTTTTTCCTCTTGAACAAACAAGCATGAGTCATGTTTTCCCTTTGTACCAACGGCACAGTTCAGTTCACTTTTATTGCAGTTTGTTACGGAGATCATAAACCACAACAATGTTTGCTTTGCTTATCAGAAATCAAGCAGCCTTTTTTTCTGAAGCTCTTTTATAGGCTTGATTTGAATGGGTGAATGACACTTAAAGGAATAGTTCACTCAGCAATGAAAATGTACCATTTACTCCTAAGTTGTGCATAGTTTTGCATAGATTATATTTTAAAGAATGTTTGGACCCACACAGTTGATGGCTGCCATTGACGTCTATAAAATAAAAATATAATGGAAGTCAATGGGGAACCACAGCAGTTTAGTTACTCATGACCTTCAAAGTTATTGAAATATAAGGTTAAAAACATTCAGAGATTTTCCACGTCAGAGTCAGCTCATTACTTGATGGATTCTTTAAACATGCTTGCATTCTTTCCAATGACACAGACAGAGTTTTCTTTCTCATTGTTAACAGCCTGTCTGACCTTTAACCTTTTCTCTGTCTTGTTTTTGCTCTAGGTTAATGGTGACATTCCTCCGAGGTTAAAGAAAAGTGCTCACGAGATCATCCTGGAGTTCATTCGATCGAGGCCTCCATTAAATCCTGTGAGCGTCAGAATATACACAAATACTAATTCAAATTTAGTATTGTAATTCATTAATTCAGCCTTATGCAGTAGGTTTACATGCATTTCACGACAATGATGATAATGATGATGATGATGATGATGATGATGTAATGTGAAAATATACATTACAGCATCAGACCTTTTTTATATTGTCTGAAATGGTTAGTTTAAGAATCCAGTTTCTCTAAGTCACGTTTTTTCAAGAGCCTACTCTGCTCCGATTGGTCAGATTATTGCCTGGTCAATCTTACAATATAATTTATTCTTATCATTATAATAGCATTATCATATGCAATTATGCAGTTGTCATATAAGATATCATTATGCAATTCTGAGTGTGCCTCACACAGGTGAGTGGGCTTGACAAACCACCTGTAGAAAACACACTCTTTCATCTTGCTAATACTTTAACCAACACTTGCACCAGTTTTGCACATTTGCACCAGACAAATTTTTTGCAATCACTGCATATCACTACGAGAAATGCATTAATGAAGTGTGCTTCACATGGGTGAGTGGGGTTGACAAACCGCCTGTAGAAACATCCTTCTCTCTCTCTCTCTCTCTCTCTCTCTCTCTTTCTCTAACCCCACCCCCTTACTCTAGCACTAAATTATTTAACAGTTCCTTTGTATAATTAGCACTTCTTGTGTGTATGGCCTTCTCTTGCTGAATCTATGAATGCCTCCTTAATTTTAAGTCGCTTAGGACAAAAGTATCTGCTAAATGACTAAATTTAATTATATGAAAATTACGTACAACACAGTGATTTGAACAGTAACAATAATATAAATTGTATTTTATCAAGTAAAGCCTGCAGGAAGTAAGACTGGACTTTTAAGAATCAGTGAATCTTTGTGTTATACATTTGGACTTATATTGACTATCTATCAAAGGTGACAGTTTCTGCTAAAATTAATTTGAAATTATACCCAAACTTACAAATGATTGTGTGTGTTTGTGTGTGTGTGCTTTAAGGTTTCTGCTCGTAAACTGAAGCCTCATGCTCCTCAACCTCCGACTCTCCATGAGCGTATCCTTGAGGAGATCCGATCAGAGAGAAAGCTTAGGCCCGTGTCTCCTGATATGATCCGCAGGAGTCGACTCGGTGAGTTCATTTTTCCAAGCTTGCTGTCATAAAAACAGACACTTAAGTAAAAAAAAAAAAAAAAAAAAACATTTTTAGCTGAAAATGGTTTAAAAAAATAAAAACTGCTTTTATTCTAGTTGAAATAAAACAAATAAGACTTTCTCCAAAAGGAAAAAATATTATCAGAAATACTGTGAAATTTTCCTTGCTTTGTTAAACATCATTTGGCAAATATTTAAAGAAGAAAAAAATTCAAAGCGGGGCTAATAATTCTTAATATTTCTTAATAATAATAATTCTAATAATAATTATTAATTTTTCAATATTATTTAGTTTAAACCTAAATTTAAAATTAAATTAAATTTGAAAAAACAGTAATTAAATAACGTAAAATTATTAAAAACAAATATATATTTATTTTTTTGAGCACACATTTTTTAAACATAAATCAATATTCTATGTGCATTATTTACTGAAACAGCATTGTATTTGATTCAACCACAGCTTAATATTGTTAGTTATGCTAAATGTCAAGTATATGAGTGTTGTGGATGGAGGTGAGTATGTGACTGTAGAGGCTCATGTCAGTGTGTCATTCTCATGCATGGCTGCTTGTGCAACACTCAATCATTTGTGTTCTCTAACAGCATCTCTGTTGCTGCCCTGTGTCTCTAATTATTGGCTGTACATTTTATTTACATACTCAAATGTCAAATATTCTTCGCCTATGATTAATTCAGTATATTTTCAAGAATGTGTCGATCCACATTGTTCCAAGGTAATAGATTTACGTATCGTACAGTATCTTTAATTAATATTTACATGGATCATCTTGGTCAATGAATAAATAAATAAAACGATGCCTTTGTTTTCCCAATTATTTCCCTCTGTTAATTGGAGAAAAGTATTTATTTTGTAGTGAAATAAAGTTTCAATTGTTTAATTTCAATGAAAGTCAAGGGTTTTTTTTTTTTAATGAAAAGTATAAAAAGGATAAACAAAGCAGATTTTGTTTCACAACATTCTTGCTCGTATTTACAAAGGGTGCCAATACTTTTGAACATTATTGTATTTGATGCGATTTTGTTTTTTTATGCAGGTTTTTTGCTGTATGATTCAGCAGTTAAGGATTTTAGGGATTTTAGTTTACCTAAAGCTCTCTAGGCTGCTTGCGTGGATGATTGTACAGTTACACAAGCACAAATCTGGCGCTCGTTCCATCGGAGTGATCCATGTTGAATAAATATCCCAGATTTACAGCAGACATTAGATTTGCACATACGGTATTGGCAGTTTGTTTGGTGAAAAGACTCTGTTGTTTTCTCCCTCTGCCTAAAGAGTCAAAGTTCACCGTTTACAGCCTGTAAAGCTTTAAAACTTAAAGGAGATTATCAGAAATATCTGCTGTATGCTGAAAACATGTTATTGTAAAGAACCAGTAAGTTTTAATGATGTTCTGCTACATACTTCAGTATTGAAGTCACCTAACAGAGCTTAAAATGCTCTACTTTCTATGTTCTAATTGGTTGTTGAAATATAATAATTTACACTGTCTATCATTACTTGTTTTAACGAATTGTTTATTTAGGCATACAACAAAAAATAATTAATACATCAATAACATGTCAAGTAAAGTATACCGTGTAGGCAAATACTCAGTAATGTTCTTCTCTATAAGACATACGTTCCAGTGAATGAGATGCTACAACATATTGTTTTCTTTCTATGGTTGAAACATTAATTTAAGGGAACCTATTATGCCCCTTTTTACAAGATGCAAAATAAGTCTCTAATGTCCCTAGAGCAGAGGTGCTCAACCTGTTCCTGGAGATCTACCTTCAACCTACATTTAACTTTCTGAGAATTAATGCCACAAAATCGGTCATTTTTATCGGGATAAATCCCAAACAAAAAAAATCATGAAAAACTAGCGGGACTGTCAAATGGGATTGTGCTTGTTTCAGAAGAGGGCGGAGCAACAAATGTGTCAGCATAGTGGCAGTTTCAAAAACAAGACCAATGTTCTATGATAATGAGGGCGAGATCGTCACTAATGGGTGGGGCTTTCCCCTTTGACGACACTTACAAATGGAGAATGCCAATCAAAGTGTTTATGCAGACTGATATATGATTCCTTGCTAAAACAAACCTTACACATACATTCAAAGACTAGAATATGTGTATCATTAAACCCTTAATATGTGTACATTGACATTATATGTTGTCAGAACGCTTCATAAATCATCAGTAATGTTATGCGAGTTGCAGCTTTGTCAGTTTTACCTGCATACTAAAATGGTCTGGTATGAAATTGTTAAAACGACACTTATTCTTTCTTGTTTCTTAAAGAATAAGCTCAGTTGTAGAAGTGGAGCATCCATTATATTTGACATTGAATGCATTGAACTTGTTTTAACCCATGGCTTTATTTGTCTTCTCCTCCCTCTCTTCACCCATGGCCTCTGGTTTTCTCTCAGTAATGCGTCCTCTTAGCATGTCTGTCAGTTTTGACTCATCAGGTAAAGACTTGGCTTTGGCTTTACCTCAGTATCTGCTCACTCACAGACCCCCGCTGGCTTGTGTGCTTGTGCCAGACCCTTGATGTCACCCTCCTCTGGTGCTGATGTTTATAGCATTATAGCATTAGCATCAGTCATCAAGAAAATGACAAGATTGCTTAGTTCAGGATTGCAAGCTTTGAACAAAGAGTATAGAGTGAGATGCTGTTTGACACTTATTGAGATTCAGTTTTTTCATAATGTGCTTTTTTTATGTAATGCTAAGATCCAAACTACACATTAAAGCTTTTGTTTGTCGCACTTTATCAATTTGTGTTTGAAGATTACAATGCAAAAGATTATATTTTGAAGAATGTTTGTAACCACAAAGTTGATTATTGTTATTGAATTCCATATATTTTTTCTACTATGAGAATCAATGGCAATCATCAGCTTTGTTAACAAATTTATAGTGCAACAAAAGGTCACACTTTATTTTGATGGTTCATTTGTTGAATTTAAGTTACATTGCATCTACATGCCAACTAATTCCCATTAGATTATAAGTAGACTGCTAGGACGGGTTGGAGTTAGGGTTAGTGTAAGTTGACATGTACTTGCAAAGTTTTTTAAAGACAGTTGAATGTCTGTTGAAGGAGCAGTTTTAGCAGTTGTTAAGCAGACAGTCTACTAATACTCAAATTGGCCATCAAAATAAAGTGTAAAAGTGTAAATGCATTAAACATTATTTTTTTAAAGAAAGCACATTATGAAAAGACAAAATCTCAACAATCAACAGTTAAAATATCTATTTATAATGGATATTTTTAAAAGAATGTTTTCCTAAGGTTTCACTTCTACAGCACTGACATTCACCAAACTTCACAGTTTTATTTATACTTGTATTCTGGAGATTTTTACCGAGGAATATGTTCATACATAATTTGTCTGATTATGGTTTACATTTTATTCTACTAAACAAAATGATGCAAACATCTGTTGTGACTGTTCGCAGTATTTTCTGAATTATGGAGTGACAAAAAAAAAAAAAAAGAGATTCCCACAATACTCTCTGTAAAACCTTTGACACTAACATGTCCAGTAAAAACTTAAACAAGACATGAAACTGACTTTGTCCAAGGTTGAAATATTTTGCTTAAAAAGTATGCAATTTAGCCCCATTTTCATATCTTCATAACATTTTAGAAAACTTGAAAAGTTAAAAATGTTTGCAATTTATTAAAAGAGTTGACCCAAAAATGAAAAATTATCTCATGATTTACTCATCCACTGACACTGTCAGTCATTCTAAGTGTATATGACTTCATTCTTCGTTCAGTCAAAGACCATCAGACCATCTACAATGGCAACAGGTGGCTGTTTCTCTTCAACCATCCAACAAAGTGCATCCATGCATAATAACAAGTGCCTCGTACAACTCCAGGGATTGATTAAATGTCTCCTTGAGCATAGGGTTGGGCGATCAATTTGGCATTCTGTGATGTCTAATGTGAAACATCACGATGGACGATAGCATCGTCGACGTAGGTGGTGGTGAATTAATTATTTATGAATAATTAATGAATTCATAACAAATTGGACTGTCAAATCTTCTGACCAATAAAATGCTCTCTAGTATCTAAAAAGCCCCGCTCCCTTCAAGATGCTTCTCATTGGCTTTTCATTTGATCCGCTTAAACTCAACCAATCTCATTGGCAGAGCTGTGATAAAAACAACGATATTGGCTGTTTTTTTTTTAATGGGAGGAGCTACTATATGTCCCGCCCTGTCTATGTTTCAGTTGAGATTGCATCAAATTTAGAGTACAAAATGCACATTTCAAAGCACTACACAGGACATTTAAAGGCTGGAATATAAGGACTTTTTCAGTTTCTTTGCCATGATTTAAAGTCTGGATAAGTTGACAATAGTCAGCATGAGTCAGACTTTAGGGAGTCAGAAATTGACAGAAAATTGTGTAACATATGATGAGCAAAGATTTTTTTAAACAGGCAAAGATGCTTTATAAGATTATACAGTAGCTTGGAGTTGAGTTGATATTGCACAGCAGTATGGTTGCTTGCACTGGACTTTCCTCTGCAATTCCTCCTGCTTTGTGTGTTTTTTCCCCCACCTTCACATCTCCCTGATCCTCTGTGCAGTATGGCTGCTGCTTATGTGTGGCTGCGCTGTGTTTGTGCTTCTGTGTGCTGATGTCACAGAGCTGCTGATTGGTTCACTTATAGGTGTGGCTTACTCTTCTATTGGTTTACTATGTGAATGTCAGGTTCAGAAAGATATGGCAAGACATTTTAACATAATCTATAAAGCACAGTATTTATTTTCATGCTACTAGTAAATATTTCTTTTCATAGGTGCCCAAACATTTTCTTAAAAAGGGCTAAAAATCTAACTTGATTAAAAGTTCTGGACCAAATAATATAGAGCAAACTGTATTTTATTAAAGTTGCCATGGGAGATTTCGTAATTCATTTTATAATATTTAAAAATAAATAGCAAAAACTATTTTATATTTGTACATCTTATAAGGAATGTATCACATTAAAAAATGAACAAAAATCTGTTATAATGGAGTTTAATGCTGAATAGTCGAGTTGCTGAGGTCTTGTACATTGTCCTCAGTACTAAGTGACAGTATTTACATAAAAAACAAAAGATCAATTACATGATTTAATTTGGACATTTCATTTCAGTTAGCTTTTTGTACCTTAACTGTACAACAAACACAATATTAGGTTAAATCATTAATGACATTATCTGTTGTATAAATAAATACCTGTCATTCTCCCTTTCTTGATGGGACGGTGGGCCAAATCAAAGCTTACCATAGGCCAATCTTGGCTCGAGTGTCCTAGTTAGGGTATCTCTACTTTAGATACAAGTACTTGAAAAAAATATAATAGTACTTATTCATTGAATATTAGTACTTATAAGATGCTAGTTTTTATAGTTAACCATTAGACATTGTTACTGATTATTACATAATATGGCTTATTCTGACATTAAAATTATTTAATTTATAAATTCCAGTTGTGACCAGTTCATTATTTTATGTACAGTTATTTATTTTCATTATGTACTAGTACTTCTATTTTAGATGCTAGTACTTAATCATCAATTACTAATATGTATTTATTAGATCTTCATACCAAAATAGCATATTAAATATAATATATTAGCTCTAATTTATTTCATAACAGTATTTATTTATTATGTACTTGTACTTAATGATTAGCTAATAGTATATATGTGGTCAATACCAGTAGTGCACATTTATTAGATACTAGTGTTTATTTGAAATGTTACTAGTAGATCATTTTGTTATTTGGATTTATACTGGATTTTAACGGTGTGGCTCTTCTTACTAATTATTACATAAAACGTAGGAATTTTTACTAGTAATAATTATAAAAGATACCAGTGTCTAATAATAAATACTAGTACGTAGCTAGTTGTACATATAAAAAAAACATTAATACTTATTTATTAGATTTTAGTAACTAAGTTTCATGAGTGTCTATAAATAGCATTTTTAAAAATGTTTACACATTGTTATTATTATTTTTAATGTTTTATTATATATTTTTATTTACTATTTTTATTAGTATTATTATTACGTTATGCTATATATCGTTATTTAATTACACTGTAAAACCCAAACAAAGTTAAGGTAACTTAAACCATTTTAGGAAACCGATCGCAACAAACCATTTAGGTTCAAAACTAATCCTAATGAGTTCTGTGAACTTAATCCATTTGATTAAACGAAGCAATTTAAGCACTGTAAAAACCAATACATGAAGAGAAATCAAACCAACTAAGCATAAAACCCATTGAGTTAAGGCAACTCAAACCGTTTGAGGAAACCGAATGCAACAAACCATTTGAGTTAAAAAAACTAATCTATATGAGTACTGTGAAGTGTGAACTTACTCTATTTAAGTTGAAGTAATAAGATATTTAATTAACCCAATACCTTCAACACTGAGTTCAAAACTCTTTTCAAATGAGTAGAATTAATTTTCAGTACATTGAGTTAACTAAACTCATTTCATTTGATAAGGTTGACTGTTGGATTTTACAGTGCTTGTATTAATTTTTATATTTTTATTATTATATTATTTTCTCTTGTTATAAAAGTTTAAAAAGAAAAAGTGGAAAGTGTTTTACCATGTCTGTCATATCAAGCATTTGTGTTCTTTTCACTCAATACAATGTTTACACACTAGCAGTTAATAATTAGGTACTAGTACACAATGGAAACAATATCTGGCATCTAAAAACCCATACAGTACTGATAGCATGAAAATAAATACTAGTATGTTTTATAGATTAAATGTAAAATGTCATATAAAGTTCTGTTTTGTGCTGTTGGGATCATATTGAAGGATATGTTCCTTTCTAGGCGCAGGCAAAAGTATAAGCACTCCACAGGACTTGTTCAGAAGCTCAGGTAAAGTATTCCTGACGCAAGCATGAATCTCACACTCACTGACAGCTTCTGAAATCAAACACAGACCATGTGGTTGAACAGCAGAGCTCACCGAATTTATTTCTCAATGAGGATTATTCTAGTTTAAGAGGCGTTATGCAACTCTGGGATCTGCAGGCATCAATATTTAATATGCTGCAATGTTTATTTTTATACCATTTTCGTCTCTGTTCTATAAATGTCGCACTTTAGTCTCAGATTACGAGGACTATTGACATGTGGACATTTGTTTGCAGTGTATATTTTTGTAAATATAGAAAATATGCAAATCTAGGTATATTACAAAGTACAGCTATGGAATACATTTAAGAGACCACTTAAACATTCTCAGTTATTCTGGATTTGGAATTCATAGGTAAGTGACTGAGTAAAATGTAATTTTTATTATGGCATTTGGTTTATATTATGGAAAAAATATTCTACTTAAAATATTCTAAGAACAAATGTTTTATATTAATTTTTTACTCAAACCCATACCTAATAAATTCTGTAATCCATAGCTGTACACACATACATTCATGCATACAATGTTACTTTATTTTATTATTCATTTTATTTTTGTTATTTATTTTTTTTTATAAAATAGAATAGTATTTCACAACATTACTGGTTTGCTTCATTTTTCATCAAATCATCAAATAAATGCAGCATTGGTTAGCATATGAGATTTCTTATTAAGATGTCCTCTATGAAAAAAAATCTCACCAATCCCAAGCTTTTGAATGTTTATTTTCATTGCTGTGGATGTCAGCGTTATGTAATTTCATGACTATATTCTACCCTGTGTAATTTTTTACCCTGATCCACTTTGGCCATCTGTTTCTGAGCGTAGTAACCTACAACATATGGTTTTGTTCATTAAAAAAACAATAGTTTTTTGGTATACACCTCTCAAATCTGTTTAGTTGTTTACAGAAACATAAATACAGTGGGGGAAATGAGTCTTGGACACGTCATGTTTTTTCCTGGGAATGATATTTCTAAAAGAGCTGTTGACATGGAATTGAACCAGATTATGCTAAAAACCCACACAATACAAACATAAAAATTTAACAAAACAAAACAATCTTATGTGTAATAACAATGAAATGGCAAAAAGTACTGAACTACTGAAACCTACAAAAAAATCTTGAATGTTCAAAAAAATCTTGATGTTGGATGGTGGAGGAGTGTCGCGGAAGAAAGTGAAGAGCTGGGGGGTGGGTGTCAGTCGCGGCCAAAAATGAAGAGCGTTGGGGAGTCACGAAAGAAAGTGAACAGAGGGCAGGTTGAGGAGGGGGATCGTTAAAATGAGGTGCCGGATCAGATTTCAATATCCTGACAATGAACTACAGAGGGTTGCTGAAGAACTACTGAGAGATTTCAGCTGCTGTCTGGGCCTGCCTTGTTACACCTTTCCTTCTTTATGTTTTCAATACTTTTTCCTGTGTAATTTATTTTTATTATGCATAACTTAATTTGCAAACTAATTAGTTGTGTTTTCTTTGCATATATGGATTTCTTTGGTTGTTACCAACATCTGGTGAAAATTTCAAGTCGACAGAACCTTTAGAAACATGTTTTCTGAGAAAAATGTTGACGTGTTTAATACTTATTTTGCCTGCTGTATTTTTTTTAATTGGTCTAATTGAATGTTGTTTGAGAGATGAACTATAAGCTATATCTGCATTCAGATTTTGTTTTATAATCCTATAGTTCGCTATGTTGTCAAAGAGTAGAGTTTCTTTCCCAGTATCTCTATAAATGTGTCCAGTAAGTGAGGTGGTAAGGTGCCATAATTGGCAAACTATTTTCTGTTTTCCTGTATGGCGGTTTAAGAAGAATGCTTATAAGCTTCAGGCTAATGTTCAAGACAGCCAGACAAATCCAATTTCATAATTTCCAAACAGACAATGCAAACATCCAGTTCTCAAGATCACATTCGACAAATAATTAGGAGTTGTGCGCTGTGTGAACAAAAACCCTGTTTTTCCTCATGCGTTGGCCATCTCTTTTCTTATTGCTGATTATGTCAACACACAGATATCCCAGATGGACCTCGCAAGTTGGCCATCAGCACACTATCTCTGGCTAACGGCACGTCACCGGCTCGAAGTCCTGTGAACGGTGTAGCCGGAGGGCATTCACTGTCCCAGAGGAAAAGGTTACTCAAAGCACCTACACTAGCCGAACTGGACAGCTCTGACTCTGAGGTGAGTGTGCTTGAAATTTTCTGAAGAATCCTGCTGAATACGACAAATATATGCAAATCACCTGCCTCGCTTTCTTCATCCAGGAGGAGCAAAGCACCCGCAAATCTGACAGCAGCTCCAGCATATCCACCTCACTGGTTGAGGACACGTCTCCAGAGTCTGTCATGGGCAAAAAACGTATGTGGCATAAAGACATACTGTTGACGTCAAAATTATTAGCCCCCCTGAATAATCAGTCAAAGAGCCTACAGTTATTTGTAATATGTAGTGTTGCTTTTAAAGGGGTGGTTTAGTCAAAAATGAACATTTGCTATCAATTCACTCACTCTCAGAACATCCGAGATTATTTGTTTTCGCTTAAACTGTTGTCAAAATATTCAGGCAAAATGTAATTAATACCTTTGGCTCCTAATGATACATTTAGCTGAGCGTAATTTACAGCAGCATTACTTTTAATCCGCAGCCTCATTCAAGTGGTACAAAGTTATATCTGGTTCCCAATGAATTACTCTTTTGAACTGCTTCTTTTAGTGGACTGGATGATCTAATTAATCCAGATTCACTGAATAATCTGAAACAATTTGCAGCCTGAGTCAACCCAAATTCACAAGTCAAAACTCACTTTCAGATTTGCCTGACAGCCACTCCGACCAGAGATCCTGTGATGCCAGTTAGAGCCTCATTCATTCAATTCACTGACTTGAAGAAACTTAATACTTGGAAAAATTGCTAAAAAAGTACAGTAAAATACAATCATTTTGCTTCATAAGATCTCAATATGTCTTCAGGAGACAAAAATATTTGTTTTGTGTTGCCTGCCCTGCTGAAAAATCCAGCTTAAACCAGCCTAGGATGGTTGGCTGGTTTTAGCTGGTTGACCAGCCTGATTTTAGAGGGGTTTTGGCCAATTCCAGGCTGGTTTCCAGCCATTTCCAGCCTGGTCTTAGCTAGTTAGGCTGGAAAGTGACCAGCTAAAACCATCTAAGACCAGTTTGACTATCCTGGTTTAAGCTGGACATTGCTGGTTTTGGCTGGGCTCCCAGCCTGGCTAGGCTTGGTCAAGCTGGTTTTAGCTGGTCATCTCCCAGCCTGACCAGCTAAAACCAGGCTGGAAATGGCTGGAAACCAGCCTGGAAGTGGCCAAAACCCCTCTAAAACTAGCTTGGTTGTCCAACTAAAACCAGCCAAGCATCCTAGGCTGGTTTAGGCTGGATTTTTCAGCAGGGTGAAATTCTCCTACCAAAGAAAACATTTTACCTGCATTTTGGATGGCCTGAGGATGAGAGGAAATGAACAGCAAATGTACATATTTTTGTTGAGCTATCACTTTAAGAAATCACTTGATTTGGAAACCACCTAGAAATGCAGGTGAATAGATTGTGAGTAAATAGTTATTTTTAGCTTTTGTGTCTGTAAGTTCATTGGCTTAAGGGTGTGTGGGGTGATGTACCACTTTAAATGTAATTCTAAATGTACCAAAAATGGTCCTAAATGTACCACTTTTTGTTTAAAGATACGATGAAGCTCATTCAAACAGAGATCATCAGAGTGGTTTGGAAAAGTCACTTTGCGCATTGTATTTAGAGCTGCACAATATATTGAAAAAATATTGGTATTTTGATAATAGTATATGCAAGATCTACAGTGCTCAGCATATTTGACTACACCCCATTTTGAAAAATGAATATGAATATTTTTGTCCATTTCACAGTAAATATAGGTAATGTATTTTGCTGCATTTAAACAAAACAGATTTATTAAACAGATATATTTATTATAATAATATTTTAATCACCAAACATGTATAAAAATTGAAAGATAATACAATTAAATTCATGTAAAATATTGCAAAAAAAAAAAAAACAACCTACAAAATGTCAATTAAATGTTTCCATTTTTTGCTTCTCTTGATTTTTCCTGGTGTTTGTAGATATTAGGTTGCTAGGCAACCATCAACTGTTTTCTCAGAGGATGACAAGCTGACAAAACATTGCTGACACTCTAATCAAAGAGCTTAGAATGACCAAGAGGCGACACTCAATAGAACGTTCCATTGCAACAGCAGCGCCATCAACAGCCCCGGATTTCACCATTTTGGAGTGAAAGCGGTCGGCTTTCTATTTGATCTTATTGCTGTCTCGATGGCAAGCAGCTGCTGTGTTTTTTGTTTATTTATTTAAAAAGCGCATTAAAGCTGAGATACAACCTGAAAGACGACAATACAACACTTACTATCACAACCATCAGCACTTTTAATAGTTTATTTTTTAGACTTATCATATGCAATTGTTCTATTAGAATTTTCATTGCTTCGCTCCATCTAGTGACTGTTTCCCAAATCGCACTAGAGTGTCGCCTCTTGGTGATTCTATGCTCATTGCTCTAATACAAGTTTTATTTATGGAGAAAATCACGAAGCACTGCAGTGTTTGAGTGTTCTGTGTTTGTCTGAGATTATTAGTCTTACTGAAATGTGTATTTTCCACCCTAGCTGGAGCTGGTTGGTCAATTCTTTTCACGTGACTCGCAGTGCGCTTGCAGGACTCGTTGGTGCAAGCACGTCACACCACTTGTGCTCAAGCCGCGTACCTCCATTGGAAACAACACACTTGTGAAAACTCTAGAAACACGCGATATGTGAACGGCCCCTAAAAGGCCGCCGTCGTTTGCGATCTCCATCAGTTGATCTTCTTGCACAGATATGCTGGATTCACCAGATTAGTTGACAAATGGGTTGCGGATCTATTCCTTGGCAGTTCACTGGGCTTTTTCCCCTTAGCAAAGAAACTAAAGACATTTGTTTCTTACGCATTATGCTGCTTGTGGGTTAAATTTGGACGCTCGTATGACCAAGATGTAAGCGAGAGAATACGGTCATTTTTCCAAAATAAAAGACTTTTCGAAATAAAAGATTGTTCAGTCTCAGATCATAAATAAAACTGAAATAATTAATGATTTCTTGTGCGGCCTGGTACCAACTGATCCACTGACCAGTACTGGTCCGCGGCCCGGTGGTTGACGACCACTGCGTTAACACACTTTTTTTTTAGACACCCATTAGTCCACAAAGTGGTGCAAATTAATTTACTATTTAAACACTGTGGTGTAAAACATGAAAATTACTGTTGCACCGGTCTGAAAATTGCAACAAATCACACCAAACACATTTTGTGTCTTATTGCGCCGGGTGGATATTAGGGCCCTAAATGTTTGCACCTTTATTTTTAGTTAGCACCTGTTTGTTTTAAGTATGGTCACTAATACAATACACCATAAATGAAATGTTAATAATCATAGTTATTTAACGTAAATAAATAATTTGCATTTTACTAGCATAAGGATAGCATTTAGCCAGTTCGTTATATCATGAAAATTATTGATATCGCAACACTCTACAACATTGCATATTTTCCCAGTATCATGCAGCCCTAATCATTTTTTGTCCTCCATCTTTTTTTCCAGCTCCACCTCAGTTCCTGCCCATTTCTTCCACACCTCAGCCTGACAAACGCATTGCTCCTCAGAGGAGACACTCTATTGAGAAAGAGGCTCCCACCAACATACGCCACTTCCTGCCTCCATCTCGACAGAACTCCAAATCTCTGGTAACTGACACATAACAGCGTTCTTTTTCCATTGTCGAACAAATTCCAGAGCAGTAAATGAGAGTAATTCAACATAACGCAGTCATTTGGTGGTCAGACCTAACTGTCCTGTGTCTTATGAAAATATTATGATATTGAGTGTGGAGAGAAAGAGAGTTAAAAGAGAAGCCCAACATACGGCACCTTAGGATATATTGGGGAAAATATAGGATTGGAATTGCACATAATATCAGCTTTCAGCTTTTTTATGGTGAAGGGTCAATATAAAGATATTCAGTGTATTGTAGGGCATTTGGATGCATTGTAATTAACATATATAAAGCTACTATATTATATATTTATATATATATATATATATATATATATATATATATATATATATAAATCAGTAAGACTTTTTGGAAAGTCTTTTTTGTTTGTCAAGTTCATGGTAAACTAATAAAATGATGGTAAAGAATTAAATTTATCTTTAAATATAAGCTAATACTTGCTATCCGCTTGTTAAGTTGCGATGTTGTTTCGGGTCCAAGCCGCTACTTTTACATTACATTTTTTAATAAAATCATGCTGTACACAACAGTCTGTAGACTTGTTGCATTACAGACATCGATATTTTAACAATTTATTGCAAAATAATCACTTTCTGGCCGTCTAAAATTAGGCATTGTTATGTAAATTTTTTGTGTTCATGATTTTCGAAATTAATACATGGCTTTGTAAACGTTTATTATTAATATTTGTTAAGCCTTCCCATTGGATCCAGAAGCTGCTTTGTGTGACGTCACACTTTACAAGTGGATTATTATTACATTTTTATTAATCTGAGAGAAACATCAAACAAAAGAATTCATTATAAAGTTGCATGATAGTAATAACTAAGGTTTATATAGCATTATAGGATTTCTTATCACATTAATAAGTTTTGTATAGTAGATCAATGTCAATATATATTTTCAGAATTATTATATTAGATTATATAATATTATATTATATTTTTATATTATATTATATTATATTATATTATATTTTTATATTATATTATATTATATTATATTATATTATATTATATTATATTATATTATATTATATTATATTATATTAGATTATATTAGATTAGATTAGATTAGATTAGATTCTCTTATTTTTCTGAACAAAGACAGACTTAAATGATACAATCTAAAATATCAAATATCCTGTAGATAACCAATCCAGTTCTTTGAAGAGGAGCACACAATTTTCAAGGTAGCTGCAATAAATAAAAAAGTAGAAAACAGTTTTTTTTTTTTTCAGATCGTAAACAAGAGACTTCTTTCAAAGATCATTTATTGCCCAAATGTTACCAGTTTTAGAAACTACATTAGCAGTTGTGCTATATTTACTAAATTTTAACTAAAATCTCAGATGAAGCTTTATTCATGGACAGGCTGCTTCGAATTTGGCCATGCTGACTGCGTTTAGTCATGCACTATAACAGATTGTGAAACCTCAGAACTGTTTAGCTCTTTGATCAGTTGTAAATTTGACAGTCATCGACCTTTTACAGGAAAAAGATTTGAACGGCTTCTAGATAGTGAATGATATTGTAGTTGTAGATAGAGAGCTGTAACTGCTCTGCTTCTCTTTCTTGCCTTACACCTAAAGATGTCTTCAGACGGCAAGGTAAATCACTACAATCCACACATATTTCTCATGCGCACAGATTCTGTTACATTATGCTCGAGGAGTCATTTCATCATGAGATGCTTTATCAGCTGGGCAGTTGCTTCGTGTGCGTGTGTGTGAGTGTGTTCTGTGTCTTCGTTGAACAATGTTGCATGGCCACAGCAGAGGAAACTGCTGAAGGAAATGGCCCACACTAAAAATCACTTCAGTTACTGGTTATCAAGGTGATTTTATGATTATGAGGCAAAAAACTTCCTCTTTTTGAATAATGCACAAGTCATGTACAACATTCAAAGAATGTTAGACTTAGATAAGTAATAAGTATGTTTTAGATATGGTAAATAAAAGGTAATGTGATATAGATTTATTATATTACATTACATTACATTACATTATATTATATTATATTATATTATATTATATTATATTATATTATATTATATTATATTATATTATATGATATTATATTACATTACATTATATTATTATAACATTTTATTATTTATTATAACAATATAATTTTATATTATATTTTATTATATTGTTTTAACCTTCTGTTCATTTTTATAACAATATTGTTTATTTTTAAATATTTTTATATTATATTATAACATGTATTATTGTAACATTTTATTATAACAATGTTATTTATATTGAATTATATTTTATATTATATTTATTATATTATATTGTTATAAAATGTTATTTATTATGACAATATTTTTATATGATATTATTTTGTAATATATTATTGTAACCTTTATAAAGTTTTATAACAATATTATTTATGTTACATTTTTTATATTATATTATAACATTATATTATTGTAACATTTTATTGTTTATTATAACAATATTTTTTATTTATATTTTTATATTATATTGTTATAACATTTTATTATGATAACAATATTTTTTATTTTTTATATTATATTATTGAGACCTTTTTTTTTAATTTTTATAACAATATTATTTTTTATTTTATATTATAACATATTATATTATTATAACACTGTATTATTTATTATATTATATTATATTATATTATATTATATTATATTATATTATATTATATTATATTATATTATATTATAATACTCATAGTTTAGAATTTATTAAAGATTTAAGGAAAGGTGTTTTTTCAGTTGTGTCTAAACCGGGGGTGCTCAAACGTTTTCACATGAAGAGCCAAAAACCAAATATCATTGAGAGTCGTGGGCCGAAGATAAATATACCAAACTATATTACATTAAAGTTGTAATAAAACATTACATTTCAGAATAAAAAGAAAACATTACAGCACTATAACTTTTTAAATGATAACTTATTGCAATAAAAATCATAAACAATCACATCGATAACACAGTGGAGTTCAATGTTGAATACATCAAGCAGAATCTGCCTTTGCCTTGATTTGCTCACCAAATTCTCCATTGTTGGGTGACAGTATGATTTATTTACACCGTTTAATTCAAACATTTGATTTCAGTTAACGTTTAACAATAAAACAAACAAAGAATTACATTACATTGGATTTGACAATCTCTAACCCTTCACTATCAGTCTCTCTCACCTCAGATGGGATGGCGGGCCAAATCAAAGGTTACCATGGGCCAACTTTGGCCCACGGGCCTTAGTTTGAGCATCTCTGGTCTAAACCTTTTACATTTTGTTTTTCATTCTGCTACTAGCTGTTTCTTAGGCTTTCTGTCCATTTTTAAGTACTCTTTTAAGAAGATAGTTCTCTTTATAATTGTATTTGTAGAAAGTAATTGAAAACGTAAGCAAATAACATTTAGTAAGAATTGAGTTCTTGTAAATAAAACTCTACAGCCGTTACCTAAATGTCAAATAAAGCCATGTTTTGTTTCTTTGGTCAGGCTCACGCACTAGGCAGCGGTCATGCGGTACGTCCCATCAAGCTTTATTGAACTAATACTGGGTGACGAGGACGTAAAAGCCAATACGAGTTTCTCATTTCATAAAAAAATCATTCGTTTTTATGGCCAGCCAAAGTGATTGAAGATAAGTTTTAGAGATGTGTGTTGGCTTTTATGTGAGCCTTATTAAAGGGATAGTTCACCCAAGAATTGACATTTACTCACTCTCAAGACGTTTCAGACCTTTATGGGTTTATTTTTTTCTGTTACATAATAGAAGAATATTGGAAAGCAACAGCTACTGACATACATACTATGAGAAACTGCTAGAACACTGAAAAAATACTATGGAGTAAGTAAAAGGCTACAGATTCTCAACATTTTCTTCAAAATGAAAACTTCAAAATATCTTCTTTTGTGTTAATTGAAAAAGAAACTCGAACAAGTTGATCGTGAGTAAATGATGACAGAATTGTAATTTTTGGGTGAACTGTAACTTTAGATTGGGTTAGAGCTGTTTGTGGGCCGCCGTACAGTGTGTATTGGTTTAGCACAGAGCATGAAGATTTCCATTCATCTATATATGCAAATTCTTCATTCAGCATCATTTGGCATTCCTCATTCCTGAACTCAATGTCTCCATCCAGCGTTGTGTTGTGGGTTTCGTTCTGTCTTGTGATTGGCAGAGGGTGGAACCATGTAGAGTCATGAATCAAGCATGAATGTTGTATTTTCATTCTAAAGGCAAGACACTGCTGGCAAAAAGTTTTTTGTGTATGTGTGTGTCTTTACAGATTTTTTTATGTGTTTAAGGTGGGCATACAACGTTTGAAATTTAAAAAAAAAGTATATAAATGTATTTTTAAATGTATAATTTTAAATGTATTTTAAAAAATTATTTTATGAATTTATTATTATTTTTTATTTTTATATTTTTTTACTTGACATAAATCGACAGATCGACTCATTCAACCACACACACCTCACAAATTCAGGCTGACTATGTTTTTGTACATATTTACAAATCAGGAGCTCATGAGCCTTGTTAAGTTTCTACAAGTTTGTATGCATTTTTTTCAATCAGGAGAAATCACATGAAAATCCTTGATGCTTGTACCGTAGAGAAACTTAGAAGCTGAATGGCTCATGAGCTTTTAATTATTATTTTTTTCCGGGTTTTTCACCTCTATTGGATAGGACAGTAGAGAGTGTCAGGGAAAATTATTTATCATAATTATCATGTCTACAAGCCTTTTTGCACTATATAATGTTCTATATCTGCACAACTCTGTCTTGCACTCATTGCCATATGCCCTTTATGTCATTGTATTTTATTGTTTACAAATTTTTTTCTTTATGTATATTTTTAGACTACATTTTACGTATATTTTTAGATTACATTTTATGTATAATTGTATTTATTGTAAATTCTTCTTAAAACTCAACTTTTTGTATTAATATTATATGATAGGCACCTAGGGTCTGAGAGTAACGTAATTTTGATTCTCTATATGTCCTGTACATTTGGTTGAATTGACAATAAAGCTGACTTTGACTTTGACTGTTGAAAGCTCGGGGAGCAGAGAGAGGGGAAGGATCAGCATAGAACCTCAAAGCGGGAATCGAACTCTTGTCACCGTGAGCACCAGTGTGCATGAATCGACTCACTAATCACTACGCCATTGGCGCCCACACAGAGCTTTTAATATGCCATAATTTTGAATATGGCAAAAAATATTGTTGGTGTATGTGAAACAAGCTGATCTGTCAATGTATGTGACGTTGAATCAGGAGGAGAAACTCACTGAATGAGCGCTGTATGATGTCAAGCACGACAGGGTTGGCAGAGATCATAGTTTACAGTGAACAGGGTTATGATTCACATAATTCACACAAAGGGTGACCAGGCATACTGATTAACTGAGAAATAAAGTCTATTTTTTTGTGTACTAAACATTTACAGGTCATTTCATTTGTTATGGTTATAACAAAGAGACACACAGTTGAAGTCAGAATTATTAGTTATTTTACTCATTTTAAACATAATATTAAAAAAAGTATTTAAATATGTTTACAGTTTTTAATGAATAGAATCAATTAAGGAAGTCTTTAATAACTATTAGCTAAATTTTTAGTGCCTCATTGCCTGCAGTGTCTTGTCCTAAATATGCAGTTTGTGTTTGAGCATTGTGTGTGACCGCGCTGTGTATATTTCAGGAGGAGTTCTGCTTCCCTGTCGAGTGTTTGACTCTGACCGTGGAGGAGGTGATGCACATCAGACAGGTTCTTGTCAAAGCCGAACTGGAGAAGTTCCAGCAGTATAAAGACATTTATAATGCACTGAAGAAAGGAAAGGTACAACATTTATTCATAATTTAATTTGACATGTTCTGCCTATTGTAAATGTACAATTAAGTTTGTTTTTAATTGTGCAAACCTTTTCATTAGCTTTGCTTCTCATGTCGGTCGAAGAAGTTCTCATTATTTACCTGGTCCTACACCTGTCAGTTCTGTAAGAGGTGGGTAGAGCTTTTTCATTAGCTTTTAAGTGAAGAAAAACCAAGTAGTAATTTGCAGTGGGATCATAGTTCTTGTCTTCCCCCCTGACAGGCCGGTTTGCTCACAGTGCTGCAAGAAGGTAAATACAACATCTTTAACTCATTTGCATGAACGTGATTCTGAGTTGAAGGGATAGTTCACACAAAACTGAAAATTCTGTCTTCATTTACTCATCTTCCACTTATTCCAAATCTGTTTGATTTTCTTTTTTTTTTTTAGTTAAACACAGAAGAAGATATTTTGAAATATGTTGGAAACCAGTAGCCATTGACTTACATAGTATTCTTTATTTTTTTCTATATTGGATTTCAATGGTTATCGGTTTTCAGCATTATTCAAATACCTAATTTTGGTTAAACTGAGGTTGAGGGTGAATAAGCAAGGACAGAACATGATATTTTGAACAATGTTGGAAACCTGTAGCCATTGATTTTCATAATATTATTATTTTTTCCTAATATGGAAGTCAATGGTTACTGGTTTTCTTTTTTTTTTTTTTTTTTATATCTGCTTTGTGTACAACAGAAAGTCTCATTAAAAAAAACCTCATATAGATTGAGGGTGAATAAATGTTCTTTTTGGGTGAAATATTTCTTTAATGTACATATAAAATGTTTAAAGTTGGTAAAATTGCTAATGGTTGTTAGTAAGTCTTTTCTGTTTTAATTTATTATAAAATGTAATTTAATTTTGTGATGTAAAATATGAGTTTTCAGCATCATCACGCAAGCCTTTAGTGTCACATGATCTTCAGAAATCATACTAATATTCTGATTTTTTTTCAGTAATCAGTTGTACTGCTCAATATTTGGATTATTTCTGATGAATTGAAAGTCCAAAATTAAAACATTGTAATCAGAAATTATTTGTAACATTCATGTTTAAACACTGTGTCATGTTTGATCAATTTAATGCATTATTTTGTTTAAAATTCCAAATGTTTTCAATTTGATGATAACCTAATGTCTTCCTATCTCAGATGAAATTGCCCTCCAAGCCTCACGCCAGCCTGCCCATCTCCTCTTTGGGTCCCAGTATCCTGCCCAAAAAAGAGCCCGGAGCATCATCAGCCCCGACAGATAAAACCTCCTCCACATCCAGCCACAAGAAAAACAGCCTTCAGCGCTCATTGTCTAGGTGTGTTTTAAAATACTACCAGTTAATATAAACCTGTGTATATATACACTATCCCAGTTGTAAGAGCAACAAATAATAACTTAGCTTCTAGTTGATCATTTGGAAAAGTGGCTGAAGGCAGATTTTTTTCAGTGAATCATCTGTTGAACTGCATCCCAAACATCACAAATACTGCAGAAGACCTATTGGAACCAGCATGGACCCAAGATTCTCACAGAAATCAGTCAAGTTTGGTGAGGGAAAAATCATGGTTTGGGGTTACATTCATTATGGGGGCATAAGAGAGATCTGCAGAGTGGATGGCAACATCAACAGCCTGGGGTATCAAGACATTTGTGCTGCCCATTACATTACAAACCACAGGAGAGGGCAAATTCTTCAGCAGGATAGCGCTCCTCATAGTTCAGCCTCCACATTGAAGTTTCTGAAAGCAAAGAAGGTCAAGGTGTTCCAGGATTGGCCAGCCCAGTCATTAGAAGTGAATGTTATAGAGCATGTCTGAGGTAAGATGAAGGAGGAGGCATTGAAGATGAATCCAAAAAATCTGGATGAACTCGGGGAGTCCTGCAAGAAGGCTTACTTTGGCAATCCAGATGACTTTATTAAGTTATTGGAGTCATTGCAGAGATGTATGGATGCAGTCCTCCTAGCTCATAGGAGTCATTCTCAATATTCATTCTTTTTCCACTGCACCATGACTTTATATTATATATTGTACATTATAGAATATAATAGGCATAAGTATTATATAATAATATAATTGGTAAAAAAAAGCGTAATCTAGAGGCCTTTCATATTAGCCACTTCTGATACCAAATGATCAACTAGAAGTCAAGTTATTATTTGTTGTTCCTAAAACTTGGATAGGCAACAATAAAATCACCTTAAAATTTGGCTAAATGAAGTGCCTGGTAAAAGACATTACTAATGATGTATTGAGTTTTGAAAAAAAAAATAGGAAGTTTACTAAATATGTTCATGGATCATGACAATATCGACCTATTGACCTCATTCTGGAATGCAAAAGTGCGCTCGTTTTTTGCAATTGTTGTAGAACTTCAATTCTGTTGCCTTTAGGTAAAATGACTAGGAATAAAAAACAGCAGAAAAGCTGTCAAACTAAACTTAAAGTATAATAATGTAAGGAAATATCAGTTTATAACATCGCGCGGCATAACAAGCTGCTTTTAACGTCTAAAAATCCATGGAAGTGAATGAGACCTGAAGTCTCAAGCCAAAAGATTCCAATAGCTGCACCTGCACGTTCATAAAGAATAAACTCAACACTGTTAGAAATATACTTGTGCAGTTTAGGATGTTCTCATTTACACTATGCAGTCTGTTTTATAATATAGTTTGCAGTTGCTGTAAATATTATCTGTCGCTGTATAAACTGCTGCGCAAATAGTCACTAGTATGTGGCTCTTGACGTTAGAGGTCTAATGAATCTAAAAGATCTGTCAAAGAAACGGAACATTCACTACAGCATTATTACCTTTAATCCACAGCCTCAGCAAATGCTTCAGCTAAATGGCAAATGTTTACTTTGTTTACTCTCTCTCATGTCATATTAAACGCTTAAGAAATTCATTCCATCTTCTGAACCCAAATCAATGTATTTTTAATCTGATCTGAAATGTTTCTTTTAAAAAGTTTGTAAGATAAAAAAGTTATCAATATGGATTGAGCAATTTTTTTCCGAATCCCATAAAGAGGCTTAACAGATCTACTTTAATCAGAATCAGTTTTATTGCCAATTGTGCTTCACACACACAAGGAATTTGTTTTGGCTACAGAAGCTTCCAGTGCACATAAAGTGACAAGTGACAACACAAAATAAGCTTTTTAATAAATAAGTCTAAGCTTTTATTCACATTTAACATAAAGGGGTAATTCACCAATCATACAGTAGTTCTACCATCATTCACTGTTAAACAGAGAAAGATATACTGAAATATGTTGAGATTTTTTTTCCTACTGTTGATGTCAATGGCTGCTTTTTCCAACATTCTTTAGAATATTTTGCTTCATGTTCATCAGCAGACAGAAATGGGTAGTTTTAGAACATCTTGAATGTGACTAATTAAGGAAATGGTCGTTTTTGGATGAACGATCTTTTTCTTTTGAAATATTTCTTCAAAACATTCAAAAATTAAAATAATAATAATAATAATAATTCCTTACATTTATATAGCGCTTTTCTGGGCACTCAAAGCGCTTTACACACAATGGGGGGAATCGCCTCATCCACCACCAGTGTGCAGCATCCACCTGGATGACGCGACGGCAGCCATTTTGCGCCAGACCGCACACCACACACCAGCTGATTGGTGGAGAGGAGACAGCGATGAAGCCAATTGGAATATGGGGATGGTTAGGAGGCCATGATGGACAAAGGCCAGTGGGCAGATTTGGCCTGGATGCCAATAAATGCCAGTCCTGCGTGGACTGGATAAAAGATAAATCGGTCACACTTTACAATAAGGTTCATTAGTTAATGTTAATTAATGCATTTACTAACATGAACAAACAATAAACAATACATTTACTACTGTATTTATTCATGTTAGTTAACGTTAGTTAATGAAAATACAGTAGTTCATTGTTAGTTAATGTTAACTCATGGTGCATTAACTAATGTTACCAAGCATTGACTTGGATGTTAATAATGCATTTGTAAATGTTCAATTATGATTAATAAATGCTGTACAAGTGTTGTTCATGATTAGTTCATGTTAGTAAATGCATTAACTAATGAACCTTATCGTAAAGTGTTACCGATAAATCCATATAATTTATTCTTGTCTTCTGAAAAGGTGCATTAAACAGATTTAATGAAGGGTTTAAATCACAATTCATAAGACATTAATAAGCCAGCCAGAAATAAAACAGAAGAATTACCCTTGATTTAGCTTGACAAACAAGAACAAAACCCATTCATTTGCTACTAAAAATGTCTGTTTTATTTAATTTCTTTAAGTATCTATTTTACCCTTAAAAAAGGGGGATAAGACTTTATAGTAATTATCTATTGGTTCAGGTAATTTGTAGTATGCACTAACATCAATATTGTACAGCATTTATTAATCATAGTTAAACATTTACTAATGCGAAGGACCAGACAGAATCTGCAGACATTTTTTGCTATTTCTGTACAGAATTTTGTAAAAAAAATAAATAAATCTGCGGATTTATGCAGAAAGATTTAGGAAGTATCATAACTAAAAACTTAATAAATGAAATAAAAAGAATACCTTTTTAGCTTTTATTTAATGTTTACAATGCAAATCCATTTAGATACACTTATTTGGTAAACAAAGCAAGTCTCTTTCATAATTTATCTACTAAAAGACAGAAAATATTACTGCACAAACTGTTTTGTAAATAAATCATATGAACATTTTAATAGTAGTCAATAATATTACTGAAATTCATTAAAAAAAAAACTGAATAAATATAAATTTCCATTTACACAAGTAAATAAATAGACTCAATTAGCTATGTTTATATCCAAAGATGCAAATTATATTTATTTGCAAAACAGTAATAACGCATAAAAGACTAAAATAAAGCAGCGTTTTCAAAGTCAAAGCAAACAAAATCTTCACTTCCTGATTAACCGGCGCCGACTATCAAAAGTAAAAATGACCCCCTGATATACATCATAGTAAAATAATTTTTGGTCCCGATCCCTCTCAGATCATCAAAACACGGCGATCGCTCGTCTTCTAAAGACGAGCTGGAGCTTCCGGAGCAGTTCACCGAGGACTGGAGCACCATGGAGGTCTGCGTGGACTGCAAAAAATTCATCAACGACATCATCAGCAACAGCCGCCGCAACCTGTCCACCAAACGTGCCCGCCTGCACCGCCGGACACACTCCGTCTACTCGTCCAGCACCAGCTCCTCCAACTACAAACCAACCGAGCGCACCATCAAAGAGGTCTAGCGTCCCAAACGTCAAGGAAAAAAGGTGTTTGTTTTTTTCTCTGTTACGTCCGACAGCCCACTTTTAGCTTTGTAAGCATACCTTCCATACCTCTTCTTTTCCTTTTAAAAAGTGCCAGAGGCGAAGGAAGTTAAAAAGCCCGTCCCTCTTCCAGCATGAGTCCTTAAGCACCAGCCTTCTCAGGAAACGGTTTGGAATGTAGTTTCGACTTATTTTAACCAACAAATCTGAATTATTAATGACAAAGTGTGAACAAAAGAAAGCGCAAGGCTGCTTTGAGCACCGAAAGGCCTGAATGTACACTTTTTTCAATGTAGTGAAGTCAAACAGAGCTGGAGTTTGTGTAAATAATCACTAAAGGTTGTAAATATCCATACTTTTTCCCCCTTTTAGTTAAGATTTAGTCGATTGCTTGACCGACCAAGAGACTGTAGATGAATTCAGCCTCCGTGACAATTCAAGATCAAGTCTTACCAAATGTTTTCTCTCTCTCTCTCTCTCTCTTGTCGTTTGTTAAAATTGCTGCTGTATTAGTGATGAACGCCGTTTTAGAGTACTTACAGATATATATTTTTCCTGATGGCAGATTTTAGATGAAGTCAAGGTTGTTTTTTTAAAGAGCGGATGCTGAAAGCTGTGGCGTTTCTTAAAGGAGTTGATCGGCTGTGCCAAACAAATCTCCACAATCCGAGCAATATGTGTCTTGGACCTGATGTACATATTCAAAAAAAGCATTTAGCAGAGACGACACACGAAGAAGGAAAGCAGTTCTCTCTTTTAAAACAGGACTTTTGTATGGATATGTTTGTGTACATGCTGTATATCCAAATCTCATCCGATCCACTTATCTATTAAAAATAGGCTCTATTGTTAAAAAGCTATGATTTCTATTATAAATAATGATCCTTTTATTTTTTTGTTTAGTGTCAAATAGCTTTTTTCAACTTCACTATTCACTTCACTGTTTTTTGTTTTCATTATTATGTCTTAAATTAAGTTATAATATATTATTAATTACCCATTTTGTGCAATGAAATGCTCCGGCATCTCGAATATGAAGGTACTTATGTCAGGGTATCTGGAAGATTGTTTCTGTTTTTACTTAATTAAAAAACAAAACACACACACACACACACACACACACACACACACACACACACACACACACACACACACACACACACACACACACACTGTAGTGGTGTACAGGCCTGTTGACATGCTTTTCTGTTTTGTGCAAAACTGACTGTACTGCCTTTCTCTACAGAATGATTGGTGTGCATGATGAAATAGATTTTTTAAAATAAGAACAGAATTGCCAATAAATAAAGCATTTGAAATTTGAGCGTTTGGTGTCATTAAATGTTACTCAATCTCTGCATTTATAAGAGAGCATATTAAGAGCTTTATAATAAATCAAACATTGATTTAATGAGCTTCAGGATTACACAAAAGTCTAAGTTTCCCCTTAAGAGCCTTTATTAAATCATAACTACACTGTAAAAAGGATATGATCAATTAGTCATGACAACATCTGCTAAGTTTAGATGCAAAACTGAAATATTCCTCTAAAATGAGCATATTCATCAGGCTCCTGTGTGTATGTTCAGTAATGTCACTTTTGTCCTTTTCCTGGTCTGTAATGGGAAATATCTCAGCATAAACAAAGGAGGCAGAGAAAAATGGAAATTTTCGATGGAAATTTCAGACGGGCGAGGTTTTTGCATCTGAACTCTTCATATGTTGTTAGTTCATTCTAACTTACTAAACTAAGTTAATCATGTTCTAACTTATACGCGAGCTGCTTTAAGTCAGTTTAACATGATATAAGTTAGGGCAGGGAGATTAATCGAAAAACAATCGAAATCGTCATTCAGAACTTTTAATTGATCTAATTTTTACAGGTTGATATATATATATATATACAGTTGAAGTCAGAATTATTAGCCCCCCTGAATTATTAGACCGCTTGTTTATTTTTCTACAATTTCTGTTTAACGGAGAGAAGATTTTATTCAACACATTTCTAAACATAATAGTTTTAATAACTCATTTCTAATAATGGATTTATTTTATCTTTGCTATGATGACAGTAAATAATATTTTACTTGATATTTTTCAAGACACTTCTATACAGCTTAAAGTGACATTTAAAGGCTTAACTAGGTTAATTAAGTTAACTAGGCAGGTTAGGGTAATTAGGCAAGTTATTGTATAACAATGGTTTGTTCTGTAGGTTATCGAGAAAAAATATAGCTTAAAGGGACTAATAATTTTGTCCCTAAAATGGTGTTTAAAAAGTTAACTGCTTTTATTCTAGCCAAAATAAAACAAATAAGACTTTTTTCAGAAAAAAAATATTATCAGACATACTGTGAAAATTTCCTTTCTCTGTTAAACATCATTTGGAAAATATTTTAAAAAGAAGAAAAACATTTGAAGGGGGCTAATAGTTCTGACTACAACTGTATATATATATATATATATATATATATATATATATATATATATATATATATATATATATATATATATATATATATATATATAAATAAAATATATATATATATATATATATATATATATATATATATATTTTTTTTTTTTCAATTACTTTCCCTACCGCATGTGGAGTCCCGTGACCCCACTCTGTTAGTCACACTTTGCAGCCACATCTGATCTCTGGTCAAGTAGGATGATGGGCCTATTCTTGAGCCTTTGCACTACCTTGACGATGATTGAAAACTGCGCTGCGATGCGTTGAGACGGCATATTTTCCATTACATTAAAATTATTATTCACATTAAAATGTTATTTACAGGATATACAAGAGTTATTTTATTTATTTCTACTGTTAATATATAACTGAAACACTAAAGGTAATTTATTTTGTTTCCAAAATTGCAGGTTATTTGTTTTCACTTTTTATAAGAAAACTGACTGTTGGTTTTAGGCAATGTGTGTTTTAATTTCAGCTGATCAACGTGTTACATAATCATAGATAGTAGTGTGTGTTTACTATGATTATTTTAAAATCAAGTAATGCACCCTTCATTCAAAAATCTCTCACTTGTAATATTTGAGCATATTTACTGTACAAAACCTGTTAGTGAACTGAGGGCATAAATAAATAAATAAATAAATAAATAAAAAAAATTGTCTTTCATAAATCGTAATCAAGTTAAAATGTTCAAATAATTGAGATTTTGATTTCAGGCCAAATCGTCAAACCTCAATATAAGTTCAGTGGGCTCATAAGTTTAATTTGATTCAGCTTTAAAATTTAAGGCAACCAGGATTTTTGTTTTACAGTGTAGATAGGCTTTTTTGCACTACGTGACAGATTTATCAAGAACTTTTATAAATTCCTAGAACATTAAGAAGTCCGGATCTGTCAGTGTAAGGTGTGCATGAAATATTGTGTCATTGCTTTGAAATGCCTTGTGTAAAGCATATAATGTTTATTATTCCTAGTGTTACATTTTATAATAAAACTAAAATTAAAAGTTCAATTTCCATTGTCTGTGTCAAAGACATTTCTAATTTGACGTAACCTTTTTTGTTTGTTAGTTTTTTTTTTTTTTGCTGAGCTACAAAAAAGCTAACTGAAATGAAGTGTTTCAATTAAATGTTGTAAATAAATCTTTTTTTAATGTGAATAATGTCATTTGACTGATAGAGGACCATGCAGAAGACATTGGTGAGCAAATCAAGGCAAACACTAGTGTAGCTCCATTCTGTTATATAAATGAGTTTGTTTTTGTTTTTTACTGTAATAAGTTCATTATAAAATGTAAAAATGGTTAGTATAAAGCAATGTTTTCTAGTTGTTTTTAAATATTATTAAATAATTTCAGAAATTACCCATGGCAACTATATTTATCTTTGGCCCACTAACCTCAATCAAGTTTGGATTGTGGGCATTATTAAGAAAAGGTTTGGGCACCCCTGGTCTATGCAGTGTTGAGATTTATATAAAGTGCTTTTATAAGTTGAATGTTTAGTCAAGTCATTAACTTACTTATTGAGTAACTCATTAAACATTGTAAATAAAAATGTCATTTAAATACAATTCTAATGATGTAATTAATTACTTTTTTTGAAGTAACTTAACACAGGTAATAAAGAGCAACTGAAATGATTTCTCTCTTTTTTAATGTTTGCTCCATTCAAGTTGAATCGCAATTCTCCACTAGAGGGCAGAAAAGCATCATTTTTACAACCGCTCTCTCTAAAACTTCTTGCATATCCTACATAATTTCGTCTATATCTTAGAGCAAATATATCTATTCTGCTAGGTTACAACACGCACACACACAAAGAAACACACACGATAGTAATTGTTCTATCTGGACTGGTATGTCACAACAAACTGTACAGGACAAAACAAATATTTCTAAAACGTGGCAGAATAATGGCGGACTGCTGAGCAATTTGTTGTGGTAAGTAAAATAGTGTATTTGTCAAATACAGATACATGCATCAAAATGAGCTCTATTGTAATTATTGAAGATATTACTACCTCATTTATCAATGCGGAAGTTATTTATTTTCTGTGTTACGTGTGAGACCTATTCATGAAAAATTACATTTATTTTTCTTTACAATCATAAGCTTGCTTATGATTATTGTAATACATATGATTAGAACTAGTTTGCATTGTCGAGCAGCATTTAGCATTGTTAACCCTGTCAGAAAAACAGCATCGTCATAATCATTCAGGAAGGTTTAAGCTGGTTTAGAAGGGTTTCGACCATTTTAGCCAGTTTTAGCAGATCTCACATGGAATTCAGCTTAAAGGGATAGTGTTCTGTCATTATTTACTCATCATCCACTTGAACCACTCATCAAGAAACTTCCATTGTAGAAAAAAACAAATACTATGACGTCAGTGGTTGCTTGTTTCCAGCTTTCTTTAAAATATCTTCTTCTGTGTTCAGTGGAAGAAAGAAACTCATAAAGGTTTCAAACACATGAGGGTAAGTAAATTGTGAGTAAATTTTAGCTTTCGGGTGAACTATCCCTTTAAAGCAGCTACACTTTCAGTTTTCAAAACCAATGTAAAAAACAGTTTTTGCTGTGTTTCTTCATCTCTTTTTAGGACAAAGCTAAAACAAAAAGTCTGCTCAAAACTTCTGTAAAAAACAGCTTGGCTGCTGTTTTACAACTATAACTGTAAAATAACTGGAAACAAATGACCATTTGTCGCTTCACAGCAAGAAGGTTGCTGGTTTGAATCCTGGCTGGGCCCGTTGGAATGTCTGTGTGAATGTTCTCCCCATGTTTGCGTGGGTTATCTCCGGGTGCTCTGGTTTCCACCACAGTCCAAACACATGCACTATAGGTAATTTGGATAAACTAAATTGGCCATAGTGTATAAGTGCCTGAGTGAATGTAAGAGTGTATGGGTGTTTCCCAGTACTGGGTTGCGGCTGGAAGGTCGTCCGCTGTGTAAAACATGCTGGAATAGTTGGTGGTTCACTCCACTGTGGCGACCCCTGATAAATAAGGGAGTAAGCTGAAGGAGAATGACTAAATGAAATGACCATGAAAGTCGAACACATTGTAGTGACAAATAAACAGTATAAGTTCTGGAAGTGAAAACTCCATTCCTTTTCTCCATAGAAAAGGTTTTTAACCAACTGACAACATTTAGGCTAAGAAAAACTTGTAATCTCCGAGGTTGTCATTTGGTTATCCATGCTTTTGTTTAAAGTAAAACTTTTACCTGTCTCCTACAAGTCCTCACAGTGGAGTTTTATCATTTTTGAAACCATTCAGCCGATCAATGGGTCTGACAGATGTACATTTAGCTTAGCTTAGCATAGATCGTGGCATCAAATAAGACCATTAGACCATCTCACTCAAAATACATATTATTTAAAGTTTAGATCATTTTCCTACGTAAAGCTTGACTATTCTGTAGTTACATCATATACCAATGAAAAATTACAGTTGCTATTTTCTATGTCTTGGAACTATTCCTCCATTCTGGCGTAATAATCAAGGAACTTTGCTGCTGTACCATGGCTGCAGCAGACACACTGATATTACCAGTGCTTACTACCTAGCTGGGATCTATTTTTAGGCGCTGCGTAACATCGTAACCATGGTACTGTAGCAAAATTCATTGATTATTACACCAGAATGGGAGTATACTGTGGTTTCTAGCCATTTCGACAGACATTTTCCATATGCTAAGCCAGTGATGGGCAAACTCACTCCTGAGGGCCGGTGTCCTGCAGAGTTTTGCTTCAGCACTAATCAAACACACCAGAACATGCTAATCAGTGTCTTCAAGATCACTAGAAAGCTTACAAGCAGGTGTGGGATTGAGTCCTCCGA